TATGCATTACTGAAAATTAAAACAGATAACTTTAGCAGTATATTTTCAGTATCACAATAATCATACTAAATCAAGACAGTAAAACATTGTAATGAAAGCATGTAATTTGATTTGTTCACTTTTTAAACCTTTAGTATACTCCTTGATTTTATTAAAAGGGGTTAAAACATGAATAGGAAGAAAGGTCAAGAGGTACAAATCTGGCATCACAACTTGTAATACAATTAGGACTGTATTTCATTATTTTGACTGGAGTATAGATTTGCATTATTTCTTAGAGACTAATAAAAAAAACCATCTTAGCTATTTTTTCCACATAATACACTGTAAAACAAAGCATTTTTCCATACCTGGTGTGCCTTCAGAGGTTTTTATTCCCATTCGGCAACAATACTGGGCAATGCCATAGTCAGCTATTTTTGCAATAACAGCTGAGTTGGGATATAGGGTAAAGAGCAACACATTGTGAGGCTTTAAATCACGGTAGATGATCATTGCTGAATGCAGGTACCTGTTAATCAAAGAAGTATTTACTGAAAGTATTCCTAATTGAGGGATGCACCTACACATACACACTCGTTTCATTATTCCCACAACAGTAAATCGTACTTTCAGAAGTTAAATATTGTGTTAAAAATGTCAAACATGACACCACCACCTTACTGAATACTGACTTCAGATTTGTTCTGAAATACTATTTACTGGCACATACACGTTGCGGTATTTTAGTACCAAGTCTTATCTGAATTGTCACTGGCAGTTTGAAAACTGCATCTTAGAAGTTTAAGTTTCATTGGTCCTCGAGCTCCTTTGCAGGTTTTGTCATTTTACAGTCACACTTCAATAGCTCCTGAGGACATTCATGGACTTTCATAACTTTAAAAATGCATTAAATTAATTTCTTTGACATTTTAATATGAAATCAACAGCAACATAGAAATTCCACCCAGAGGTCTTGCTATTTCTCTACTTATATGAGCGCCACTTGTTAGCAGAGAAAACACAGATAACAAAAGTTGTGTTATATATCAGCTAATCGATCATAAAAATACAAGCATTTGTCCGACACAGGGAATATTCTGCTTAAGATATAAGAACATAGAAGCTTTTCATTTACAGTATATCCTACTTGCAGCTGTACCCTGTTTTTACAGCAACACAGAAGTCACATTTACCTTAAGCCATCAGCTACATGTAGAGCTATCCTGTGCTGGAGCGTCCTGGTTAAACTTGCATTGTCTTGTTGAAGCAAACGATCGAGAGATCCTTTAAGGGCCAATTCCATCACCAGCATCCGGGGACGGATTGCAGCAGCCAGCAGAGACACTAAACTGGGGTGATGGAGATGACAAAGCACTGCAAGTTCCTGTAAATTGTAAAATCAGGTGAAATACTGCAAATAGCATAACCTCTGTAGCTCTGTTGCAATTTACTTAAGCTTTTTAAGCTCTGCACTAGGGCTGGTATTCCAAGAGCAGCACTACAGAAAAAAAGGCACTATTTCTTACTTGTCTTAGGAGCCTGAGGGAAGTATGTTTATTGAAGATCTTTACAGCAACCTCTTCTCCACCATAAGATGCACGGTACACAGATCCAAACCCACCATCACCTTTTCAACAATAAAATGAGAAAGAATATTAAAACCAAAGCGATATCAACCATTTATCAAAAGATAGCTGAAAAAGTCCAATTTTAAAATGCGTGGATTATCTACTGTGTTAAGCTTTATGATCAGTAATCTAAACACATAAAAACCAGTGTCCAAGCATACAAGTTAATGGAAAATTCGTAACTGAGTAACATGAAATTCAGAATACGCTGAAAAATACATTTCCACAGAAAAGAAATCTCTAACATATGTGTTCCATATGTTCAATAGATCTGTTTACAGAAACTCTGTAAAAAAAGCCTTACAAAGTAATGCTCACCCAAGAGAAATTCAGGAGCTTCATCAAATTCCAGGTCATCATTGTTCAACATAATATTTCTAGGCAAATCAGCCAGAATCAGATCAGGAGCAATCTGAGCTATTGGAATGGTATGTCTTGGTTGATCTGGATTTACCAAAAGGTCACCTACAAAAAAAAAGAGACAATTTATAAAAAAAAAAAGGTAGTCATCATTCAAAAGGTACTGAAAGGTATAAAAGGTACATGGATTTCTGTGAGTGCATCTGATCGATGTACCTACAATCAAATTCTCATGTGTGTGTATATCAACGTACGCACACACTCATACATATATATATATGGAACAAAACACTAATTAAGGTTGCCATTCAACTTAATATATCTTACATGTTTAAGTATTTTCAAAGTTCTATATATGTACCAATCAAATATGATAGCAACTGTTGCTATGTAACACCACCAAACTAACCAAGAGATTATTTTTCTGCCTATAAGAAGAACTCTGTTAGTATGTAGAATGTCATCCTGAACATCACCTTTTAAAAACTACTGTTGTACGTGGTCCAACCAAAAGATCTAGTATTAGTTTTACTACGGATTCAATTCCACAAATGAAGTTGCATTATCAACATAATGACAAAAGGATTATTTTCATTATTGCCATTTATACATGACTATACAAAGTAGCTGCAATCAGTCCCATATTCTATACTTCTACACACTTCTCTTACATAAAAAAGAACAAGTTGCTTTTGACTTATACTGCAATTTTTTCTTACAGAAAAGAAACATTTAAAAATAATGTGAAGTACCCAAATGTTTTAAAGGGGATGTCGTATAATATTTACCTAAATACAGGTGTAATCTCTATATAGGTCAAATGACATAAATATATACCTTCTTCAGCTTTTTTAAGTAATTCATCAAGTAGTATTTTTTGGTGTTCTTCACCGTCCTGAAAGCTGTACAGAGCCCATTTCTTCAGCAGTGTTTCTCCTTCACCACACACATCTATATCCAGCAAACCTGGAAACCATTCTTCCATAAGAGAATCTATGTGATCCACAACTTGCCCCAAAAGGATGCAACCTGTAGGAAAGCAAATGAAGGAAATTAGAGCCTCAAACCGCCATACTTGTAATTTCAAAGCTAAACTCTACATTCCAAAGGCAAAAGCACAACAAACCAAAATGCCAAGCTGCAATCAAACTGGAGCAAAAATCAGGCTCAGGAATAATTAACCTTTTCTGCAAGAAGGTGCTGTAATTTTCAAAAAACTGTCTGGGTTGTTGTCAAATACTGCTGATTCCACCAGACAATAAGCTTCAGGAGACCAATTCAGGTAGATGCCTTGTCTCCAATACATTCTATTAGGACGAAGAGCTCGCTCTAGGAAATACAAAATTAGATTAAAAATCTGGTCTCCAATATGAAGGTCATATTTAGAAATATTTTTAATAATTCATGGTACTTAAAAAAATTTCATTAAGATTATAGGTTTATGCCTACGCAAGTAACAAACAAAATAAAGGCTACAACTTTGCAGGGAAGCCCCAGAAAAGCTGACTATATGTCAACTGGTGTTCAGATCTATAAGGCATATCCACAGACCAAATATTTAATCAGATGGTAAGTCATGTAGCAGGTGATGTATGTAGGGATTACAGAAATGCTTAGGTACATTCAGGTTCAAACACAGAATATCTTGTGTAACATACGAGAAACAGACAGTAATTCAAATTTTTCCTGTATTACACACTCATGAAATAGCAAGATGTGACTAGAATTCTATGCTCATGAGAAACTGAATGCCAGGACAGCAGGCAGTCATAAATCATATTTGTAGAGCACTAGCAACGCATATTTTCATGCCTTAGTTGTCACTAGTATTCATAAACCACACATTAAAAAACCAAAGATGGATGAGATTGCAGTGAGCAGTGAGTGAGTGACTGTGCAGTATTTAGCCACTTGCTGGGCTAAAACACAACAAGCAGACAGATCTCATGTCAAAGCATGGAATTACTGGAAAAAATTAAAGACCCTCCCCACCTTCTCATTAAAGCAAAGTTCTCAGACTTTCATAAAGGGAGAATCAATGAACCTGAGGAAAAGGAGTTTGTTTTTCTGTGCAGAAGACATATTCTTTCCTGTACTCTTTGTAGAAGTGAGTGGCAATATGGCATAAATATAAGGATTTCCTCCATCTCTAGCTTGCAAAAGAGAGAAATAGGCTGCTTACAACCTTCACTTTCTTTTGCACACCATTGTAAAGATCAGGCACTATCTGTTCCTGGATATTTCTAAGTTACATAAATGACCACTGTTCTTTCTCTCACATTTGTGAAGCGGCCAGAAATTAGCTGAAGTAAAACAATGTTGGGAATTAGAGCTCTAACGTGCAGGTGTTGGCATTCAAAGCCAACACACTCACTATTGCTTTTGAAGATAAAGATTTGTACCTCTTCCTGACAGCATGTAAGGTGATATTTCAAGCAACCTGTTGATCAGCCTGGACCAAAATCCCATCGGAAAGTATGGCATCTCATAAAGCCTGATGATAATCTCTGAATTTTCACAGTGGGGAAGCTCTATAACAGGTCTGTGATCAGACAAACTGAAAGAATCAAAATATTAGACAGTATTTAATGATGTACTTCATACAAACTGTCTGATGACATACATTATTTATTATGTAAAATGTATTATTTATTAATGAATGAATGATTCAAATGATCAGCAAGCAGACAGTGCATTTGCTTATTCTGCTTGCTTGTGCTTCAGTGAAGTTCTCCTGTAAATTAAACCCAACAGAATCTCACTATCATTAGATATTGACTGTAAATGTGAGAAAAACTTGAGGCACATGTAAGGCAGGTAAGACATTCAGGTAAAATCTTCCTATCTCAGGACTTTAAAGAGGGTAGACACACTAATCAACGCAACCATGCAACACTCTCTCCATTACGCAACATAAGCATCATTAAACACGTTGGGGAAATCTGTAACTGAAGCAGAGAAACTGTTACCTGCTTCAGATAAAGCAAAAAAGACTGCATCCAAATTCACACCACTTTTTTGTAACCACATTTGATAACTAGACTGTTTGGAGGAGTTATTGCCTCTGAGTAACCTGACTGTGGTTCTCACTCGAAGCAAACAGGCTATAGAGATTCATGGTTATCTTTTATATTGCAATAAATATCTGTAATGCTGCCACACCACGATGTAAAGCTAAATTACGATCTTCCTGCTGCAGACTCAAAGCACGGTAACTGTAAAAGAAATATTATCCTCATAAAGCATTTTATCATCTATAGATTCCATTTACCCACCATGCTAATAGGATGTAAGCTTTATCTGCTATAAGGTCATCTTCACACATCCCCAAAAGCATTTACTAAAATGTACTGTACTAAGCACATATAATGCTTTCACATAACCAATTGCTATATTTTTTAAACTAGTTAGCCTGCTGCCAGGTTTTTATTTTGATTGATCTCTATGGCTGCCATATGGGGGTTTAGCTCTTTGCTTACCTGCTTGGTATTAGTAGTTGATCCTCTCCTAATGGCAAAGCAATCTGAAACTTTTCCAGAAGCTTAAAGTATTGTGACATGTAGATCTTAGGAAACTTGCTCTTCTTTAAAAGGAATTTTTCCACATCTGAACGCTTTACAATTCCCTTAGGATATTTAGAAAAGCCTTCCACTTTCACTGTCAGAATCTGTCAAAAAAGTAAAACAATTTCAGATATACAGTCATCATTAGATTCCATTTTCCTGATGAGCTTTGTTCCCTGAAATATTTGGTAGCCTATTATTTAAGGGGAAAAATGGACTCCATTTCACAGTGAAGCCAAACATTTCCATACTGCTAGCCAGCAAGAAGATAGCAGTGAAAAAATTTAACCTGTCCAAGCCACTTGTGTGCTACCATTCTTCAGTAGCTTTCACTGTGTTGCTATCTTACAGGTCTTTTCTCTCTCTTAATCCCACCAGATTTAAAGGCTCAAATTAATATTTTGCCATCCCATTTCCTGCACTGAATGAAAGGTATAGTTTCAGAGGTCAGGAAATCTGAATATATAAAAAAAAAATTGAGAGTTTTTCTAGATCAACATTTCAATGATGGTTTAACTTAAACAGTCATCCCCACACGTGAATCGGTATCACCCACTTTTCTCTGCCATCAGTACCATGCATACAATGACCTTTTTTCCCCCATTCTTACTACTTTAATCCAAAGTTCCAGCTTTCATCTCAACCTATTGTATCATATTGCAGGATTACTTTGCATCCATGGGGTTTTTCTATTCTACATGTATTCTTGTCTCAGGTGCAGTTTAAGTGATACTGGACGTTACAGCATAAGAACATTTAACAACTGAGACAGACAGTACTCTAGAAAGCAAAGGAAACTGAAGGAGCCAGGTTAATCAGTCTGGGGCCGAGACAATTCTAGATCATGAAATAGCAAAGAAACGGTGAAGAAGAATCACTGATATGTTACAGCACTTTCAGATGGAGAAAAAGTTTCATGAATGTAGATACAAAAATAATCAGACTCTAACCTGTGCCATGATTTTACATAGCCACTTAGGATCTACAAAATACAGATCTCTTAGTTGTAGTGCTGGGTCTTGAAAATGAAGGAGTACACCTGCACAAAGAGTATTGTAATTAGCAATGCATCTCTCAAGCTCTGTATTAAGCAAAGTAAAAAACCCCACTTTGAGTTGTTTTTCTTGCGTGACTTGACATAAGCAATTTGAATAAAAGCATAAATAAAAAAAGCTATTAAATTTATATCTCAATATCTCAGGAGACTAGAATGCAATCATGGTTTGTTCAGATTTACCTTTATTTTCATATGTTCTGTTAGATTTGTAATCTGACTTGGTTTTTTGCCAAGCAGCTACGCCCTGTGTGGTTTATTATTTGAACTTAGGAAGTCTCTACAACACTGAGATACGTTGTTACATATATATACCTACATATTCTATTCAAGCTATTAAAGCAGTTGCATCTTTCTTCAGAAACTGAGTTGTCCAACCAGCAAGTACAGTGTTTTCAAGGAGGAGTAAGAGATACAAATTGTTACAGCAGTGATCCTTTATATCATGGAATTCCATGTTACCCAAGCTTAAGCATTTCAGCTAAATGCTTTGTGGCAACATTGTGTGGGATTTAAAAAAGCATACAGGTCTCTCTGCTGCAGATTTGCAATGAAGTGCTAACAAATGTAACAAGTGTAACAAATGTACACTGAAGATAATATTTTACCTGATTCATTCAGAAAGTGAATTGCATGAGGGAGTTCATTTTCATCCAATTGTAACTGGCTTTCTTGCACCAGTTCCAGTAAGCGTTTCTGATCAATCACAGGAAACTCAACTGGGACATTTTTACGTTCCAGCAAAATTCTCTTCTCCAGCTCCAGGTAGCTGTCAGGAATTAGCTGACCAACCACTGGTTGATCTCTGATCTGTATAATTAATAAAAATAATAATCTTAAATGTATTAATTTATTCATGTGAAATGCAGACAACAAAACTAAGATGTAAGGTGGGTATATCCACTCAATAGTAGCAGCAAGAAGGAACAAGAACACTCTATTGATTAACATGGCTTCCGAAAGGTAGATATAACTAGTTTTTCTTTCAGCATTATAATATGAATGTCTTTCTATAAATGAATACTCAAAGAAGAAAATACGGAAAAATTTCCGTATTACATGTACATAAATAAAAAATGTTCTTCAGAGAAGACATTTCAAAGAGAATCTTTGTTTTTGAAGTAAAAGGAAAATATTCCCTATATGAACAATGTCATACAACTCAGGTTAACACAACACGATAGGCAAATGAATAAAAAAAAATGACACCTCTTAGTTGAGATTTTTAATAAGTTGATTTTTTTGGTAGAAAATGAAATGAAAACCAACCTGGTGATTCTCCTTCAGTAATTTTCTCTGTGTGACATTTTATAGAAAGCAAGATGAGTTTGCTATCACTCTAAAAATGTATTTAACCATGCGTTATTTCATGTTGTAAAATCTATTTACTTAACTAAAGCTAGGATGTTATCAACACTACAAACAGTACGTAGTTTACCTTGAAGTGAAGACTCTCCTTTATTATGATTTTCCGAAGTCTCATAATGGAATCGGATTCTTCTGTAGCATTCACAAAGTGATAATCTTGGATTGCTGGGAAGCCTCGCTTATTCAATAGCTCTTTTGTAATTTTACTCATGCAGGCCTTACGTTGCATTTCATCAGAAACATCTAAATGAGTGCCAACAAGAATGACGGGGGATGTTGAAGCTCGAGCCTGTTAGTAAGATCCACACAATTGATTAACTCAATAGTCAATGTTGATGTTATTGTTTTATATCCACATAAAATGTGAGCAACTTGGCCAAAACAATCCCTACAATGAAAAAAGCAAGTGTATCTCCCTTTTGATGTATACCTCTTTTACATAAGTTCAAAATCCAAAATACTATTTCATGTCTTTATTCAGAGCAAGTTTAAACTGCAATCCCATATAATAGCCTTGACTGGGTAAAAATGCACCATCCTATAAATAGGAAACAGTTTTTAACATACAAAGAACACTCTATTTCAAAATAGAAATATTTAAAAATCAGTTTTTTCTAAAAGGAAGCAGTGTAGATCTGGATTTCATACTTAACATTGTCTTTAAAACAGAGGGATAACTGTATTTTTAATTAAAAACACCCAACAAAATGGAAAAGCAAAGAGCACTGTGCTGGTAGTGATTGGGACAGTGCTGCAATGAGACACCAACAAGTGCATAACAGAAGAGAACATATCAGAAATGGTCTTCATGAACACTGAACTGACTGCAATCCTCTGTCCAGTATCACTGCTCAAGGTGAAAAGAGTGAAAAAGACAACTTTAACAAACAGGATCAGTATAGAAAATCTTTGTCATTGCATTGCCCAGCCATGGCTAACCATCATGCAAAAGGAAAAGACAAGTAATGCTCACCATGGGGTGATTCCAACAAATGAAAATAAAACACTAAGAGCAAAATAAAAACATATAGACAGATTCTCAGACCAACATCCCTACCATAGTCCTGGAGTAATTTCTGTTAACAATAGGATGCTAAGCATGCACTCAACAGCATGACTTCAAACCTGCATCTAATCACTTTTAAATTAGTCAAATTCTGATTAACCCAGAATTTACAATGGTGTAAAAGACAAAGTAGGTTTAACTCATCATCCCCTTAATAATATCTTGGTTTTATCAGTCAATTCAAAATATTGACAGAACATACAACCTATTCTTCTGTGTATCACTCTACACAATTTTAAGCAAAAAATGGTGCTGCTCATGTCTTTGTATGTCTCCAAATATTTTCATATCCAGTACATGATATATTTCAGCTCTTGCTTCATATTCTTTATTTGCTGAAGAGCTTTTTTCCTCTCTCCCTCTCTAAAAATATTTGTGGTTAATTTGCTGTTCACCAGCAGCTCCCTGGAAAGTGGAATTCCACTCTGAACATAGCTGTGGCTTACCTTGATGTTAAAAAGCCACGGCTTCATGGCATCCACCTCTGCTTGTCCTTTGCTGAGATCATAAACAGCAAGATATAAGGCTCTTTGGGTCATAAAATGAGGATGGGTACTGTAGAACTCTTCTTGTCCTAATGATAAGAAATTACCACTGATTAGTACCTCCCTCGTTGAACATCTTCAGATCATAAAAAGGCAGCAGAACACTTATTCTCAGATCACTAATCCACAAATGAAATTAATGCTTACAGAAAGTTATCTAAAATGACAGAAAACCTGTACTAACTATGAATTTTAGGTAGGTACTCTGCAGTACCTCATTGACTGAAGTGTAGTGTTGACATATGTAAGCTAGTTTTAGATCAAGAAGTGGAAAATAAAAGAACTGGGTAAACATGGTTGCTGTAAAGACAACTTGAAAGGTCACGATTCTTTTAAAATTCAAACACTGCATTTCTCCCTCACTCCTCCTTCCTTCTTCCCTCCCTTTCTCCTGTCCTTTCAGCAACTTCAAAATAAGACTCCTAAATTCACATGATTAAGCACTTAAAATCCCAACTGAAGCTGAACATTCAGCTTCAATGCTGGTCTTCCGTGCTTATCCATTGTGATAGAGACTGTATGTAAATGATCATAGACCAATGTTTAAAAACAACTTTTCTATAGCATAAAATACCTCTGAATCTTAGAAGTGCTTGTGGAGTCCCCCAGACTTAGAAAGTTTTCCAAAAGCCCAAAGTTCAAAGACTACCCCAAATTGCTTTGTTTTCTGTGACTTTACGAAACAGTGATATCATAGAGAGGGACCCAGACTATAAAAAGGAGAAACAGGGCTGAGTGGAGGATGATTCTTCTGGTGGTTACAAGCAGTTTCTTACTATTCTCAAATGCCAGTTCAAGTGCTATGGTTGAAATGAGTGGTCAGACCACATTTGGTGATAAAAAATTCCTGAGGTTTTATATTAAATTTGAGGGATTAGCTGCCAGTTTACAGAATTCACTAATTTGTAAGTGGTCACTTGACTTTAGGTCTACGTTTGCATGATTCTGCTGTCCACAACTCACAGAATCTAAGAATAAGTAATAAATTAAGGTGTTAGAAAAGACAATAGCAAAGGACAATAAACTTTTGAAATACCTCCAAAATCCCACACATTTAATATAAGCTCTTTCTTCATTTTGCCTTTCCCTTGAATGATCCAGTCTTTTACATCAATGCCTACTGTAGCTTTTGGAAAGCCCAATTCGGTTCGTTTGCATCTCATTAGTTGTTGTAGCAGTGTAGTTTTCCCACTGCCAGTGTTTCCAACAATCATGAGCTTCATTCTGTTATAAGGTACAGCCTTCTTCAGTCGTTGTTGAAGAAATCTGGTATAAAAAAGTTTGCAGAACTCACAGAAGTGTATAATAAAGAAAAATACCAACAGAACTCAGGACCAAGGAAAAATCTAAAACCATACAATTTTCTTCAAATTTTCAATATCTGTTTGATTTTAGTAGGATTTTAACAGTCTATTCTAACTTCTGATTTGAAAGTTAAAGCCTAATTCAGAATGTGTTATTTTTTCTACCCAAAAATGTGAACTGTGCAACGTACTTGGGAAAACAAGAAACAGATCAGAAATAACTGGTAAGCACCACTTATAGCATTGCTTATAGAAGCACCAAATTCAGGAAGTAATACTATTATAGTCTAAATCACTATAATCTATTATATCTGTGTGTGTTGATATGATACCTTCCACAGAGTAGCATGCTGGATTTCATATGAGAAATCAGCATGTCTTTTCAAATGGATATGTTGTTTTCTATATCTCAAGAAAGCAAAACAAGAATATTCAAGAACAATATGGCAACAAACCTGATAATGTCTCTGGCTTTGCATCCCACATGTTTGAAGTCTAAATTAAGATGGAGTCCTTCCAAAGGAAGATCCCAGATTTTGGACAGCCTTCCCATTTCATCTGGAAAGAATCTCAAATCGGGATTGTAACTTACATCCAGAGAAGTCAAGTTCTCTAGGAAGCCAATCTGAGGAGGAATCTAAGTAAAAGAACATTTAATGGGCAATTAAATGTTAAAAAAAACCCCAAAAACAAAACCATGAGGATGAATATTTAGCAAATATTTAACAAAACTAGGTATTATTTTTACTGCTGTAGTTTAACTTTTTTTTAATAAATAGGCCTAATATCAAACACTAATAGACAAAGGACCTCATAATGAATTCAGTATACAAACTGATTACATGACACATTCCAGACAGAAAAGCTTAATACGGTGATTTTCATTCACAGGAAGTACTATTTGCACTTACATACATTTTACTAATAGAATTTAAATGATATGAAAGGTGACATGAAAATCAAATGAAAACTGAAAAACTGCATTCAACTGAAGAGTGATTTAATTGTAGGTAGAATCTTACACTTTACCTCCTTTAACTTGTTGTGGGACAGGTGTAGCTTTTCTAGCCTAGACCATGCACATGCCTTTTCACTCAAGTCCAAGACATCAATTTGATTATGATTAAATAACAGTTCCCTTAAGTTTAATGATTTCCAGTGCATTGGTCCAGGCAGGCTTATGATCTTGTTTTGGCTTAGATCTACTGATCGCAAACTAAAGACATAAAAATAAAAAAGAGAGGTTAGCAAATAAAAACTAAAACCAACTTAAATTAACTGGAACTGCATTAATTTTTAATAAATGAACGGATATCAATACAGACAGTTTTCTGACAGGAATGAAGACAGAAGAAGATAGACAGTCACTACAATGAGCAAAAGTAATTAAGATGACATATTAAGTCGGTCTTCATTACCTCAGAAGAAAATATAAGAAAATACGTATGACTGATTCAGGACAATACTCTTTCAGTGTATTTGTCTGTGAATGAAATTGCCTGCTTATGAAAATAAACATCTACACTGTACTGTGCGTGTATGTTTCAGACAGTAAATTAAAGGATCATCGTAAATAAGCGTACATATTGTGGTAATAGCCCACTTCCTTCTTTTTTTTATGATTTGCAGACTTGCATGGCTCTGTTCAGATTAGTAGAAGACACAGATAAATATGGTTCACACTCCTGTATTGCAAATATTCAGTAATTAAACTGTAAACAGCAGTTAATACACATTTATAGCCAGCTAACAGAAAACAGAGTTTAGCTCAGGATTCCAGTTAAAGTTGAGTGAAGGACCATGGAGTACACTGTTACATGCAATGTCTAACTTACTAGAATAAATGTATTTAAAAACCTAATTGCAATCTAACATAATACTAATATGTGTTTTCATGTGTTGTTTTATAAATTTAAAATAAAAAAAAATAAAGCAATGGGGAACTTCCTGGTATTATGAACGTTCTGAAACCCAGAATTCCACTTATAAACTATGGAGCCTCACTAGGTGATCTCAACTGGTCTCCCTCTTGCTCCTAACTTAGGACACTAACCTCAGATGGTATGGACACCTCACTTTCATCAGAAAGTTTCTGTGAATATATGTTTGCAAATATATGCATGTGCATAAATTATACAGTTTAAGAACTATATAAGAACTATATAAGAACTATATAAAAAAGAACATTTCATTACTGTAAGTCAACTGCTGGACAAATACGCTGTTTATATCTGTGAAACATGAAGCCAGCAAAAAAGTCCATGCAACTTCTTGATTTGCCTGTGCTGGGAGATGTAGAACGTGAAAGCTACACCTTTTTCAATACATCCATTAAATTTGCCGCTGTGAATATCAAGGTCAGCATGCTGAAACGGTGTAATATTATGTTAATAATGATGTGCTCCATGTAAATCTGATTAATGCAAGTTCAGAAATCCGTGCATCTGCCCTCCCTGTGGCGCCATCAGCACTCACATCTACCCACAGCTGTCAGATAACTAATCCAATCATCCCTTCCAAGCACTCCTTTCACAATATGATTCTAGTGACATGTTAAGTCAGGAACTTAAAAAAAGCAGAAGTCTGATTTTCACATGAGTAATGCTCTGAAGATATAGCAAAATAAATGTCACATGCATCCTTAACACAATTCCATCTAGAGGAAGAGTCATTGTTTGAAAATAAATATCTTGTGATATTTTGGAAGTGAAAAACTAATCTCAGCAGCCTTGTGCAAAGTCTGCAGAACTTCTTGAGAAGAAAAAATTGCCAGTTTTTACTGTTGGTTTCAAGAAAATAATAAATTCATTCTGGTCTTCTCAGCAAGAATAGTCAGCTTCAGCAGTCAAGCAATACATTTTCAGTAACAGGTATATGAATTTGAGGAACAGAATTTCACAAAATCATGAAGAATGTGGCTGATCTGTCTTCAGTTAAAAGCTACTAAGTTTTGGATTTAACCTGTTAGAGAGGATTTCCTGAAAATCAGTAAAATATGCCAAATTTTCTGCTTGATAAAGGTCCTGACAGTACATTTTCTTAATCAAGAACTTGACATTAACTTCAATAAATAAAATAGTAACTTACTGTGGTAGAAGAAGAATTGCTTCTGGAACATTAATAAAATGATTTTGGGATAATTTTAAGCTTGTTATGCTGGATGACAAGTCAGGTATTAATTCTAGAGCAGAAAAAAGAGGTTAATTCTATTACTTTCAGAACTGTTTAAATTATTTTTAAAGGTCTGGAATTTTCTAAAGTCAAAGAGAGACTAAGAGGTCAGTTGATCATATTCTATACACAGGTCTTTGTACAAGCTACCAGAGGCAGAATCTAAATCTTTTTTTTTAACGCTTACTTAAAACTCAGAAAACGAGAAACAGAGAACAGAGTTAATGTATAATCCTTTTGTCACATTACATACTATTACACTTCATTTCATATTGGCAGTAAACTGAAATAATTCTACTTGCACTTTACTGTATTGATAGCATACATAAACATTGCCGTAATTTCTCCAGTGAGTGGTGGTTCTTATGCATATAAAAATGACTGTAATGGTTCAGCTGTGTTTAATGCAGGTATAAGAGCTACCTTCTGAAATACTGTGACAATACTTTTTAAATGGAAGATTTTACGTCTTGAGGACAGAAATAAGTTCTTACAGTAACTTATGAACTCCTGCAGTATCACCAAAATCTCATTTATGTAATTTGTATTTTTCATGGCTAAATTCATTTTGACACCTTTGCATAAAATATGCTAAGCCACTGAAACACATGCTGCAGTCAATTCAATTGCTTAAAAACTGGATTCTAGTCGAGGTGATCTGCCCTGTGGTACAGGAGCTATCTGCACATTGCTTGGAGACGGAGCTACAGAAGACTGGCTTTTTCTGGACCAGGAGCTGTAAGCCAAGACAAGTATCTCAAAGCATCTCAAACAACACCTGCATCCAGGCAAGTGAATCAAACATTCTATCTTATTCAGAAGACAATGCTGGATGTAGTGTGTCAATACTTACAATCATAGAATCATTTAGGTTGGAGAAGACCTTTAAGATCATCAAGGCCAACCATAAACCTAACACTGCCAAGTCCACCACTAAACCATGTCCCTAAGTGCCACAACTACCTGTTTTTTAAAGACCCCCAGGGACAGTGACTCCACTGCTTCCCTGGGCAGCCAGTTCCCATGCTTGACAACCTTCTCGGTGAAAAAATTCATACTAATATCCAATCTAAAACTCCTCTGGTGCAACTTGAATGCACCTTTCATCCTATCACTTGTTACTTGGGAGAACAGACCAACACTCACCTCGCTACAACCTCCTTTCAAGTAGTTGTAGAGAGCGATAAGGTCTCCCCTCAGTCTCTTTTTCTCCAGGCTAAACAACTTCAGGTCCCTCAGCCACTTCTCATAAGACTTGTGCTCCAGACCCCTCACCAGCTTTACTGCTCTTCACTGGACATCCTCCAGCACCTCAATGTCCTTTTTGTAGTGAGGGGCCCAAAACTGAACAGAGTACTCAAGGTGTGGCCTCACCAGTGCTGAATACAGGGGAAGGATAACTTCCCTAGTCCTGCTGGGCACACTACTTCTGTTACAAGCCAGGGTGCTTGTGTAATATGTATTTCAGTATAGTTTTAAACCTGTATTAGTACTATATTTGCAAGCTAACTTCGAACAACTTCCTCTGCCTTGAACCTTCCCCAACCGTATGTACAATCTCAGGTTCACTCACCATTTTTATAGCATCCACTATAAACGTAAAAACAAGATGTATTATGCCAAGTCAGATCAAACGTCCCTCAAGCCCCGCTGGAAGTATACCGCTTCAGTGATCAAAAGCTGATGCTTAGGGAACTGTATAAACAAGGACAAGCGTATGTGGGACTTTCCTTTTCTGTTCTTCCAAGACTCCAAATGCTGGTGGCTGAGGAATTTTGTGACCTGGAATTGTTTCTAGAAAGTGGATCCTATTGTCACAGATACTTACCATTAAGTACGTACTTACTCAACAATACTTACTCAACGCATTCATCCTGGCGTTGAGCTGTTCTAGTTTTGTACAGCCCATGAAGACATTCTCAGCAAGGGATGAAATATTGTTCTTACTAATGTTTAAACTTTTCAGTTCTTTCAAGCATATGGGTGAACACAAACATGGAATTTTGTTTCTGTGATAACAAGAAAAAAATAAGCCATGTTCAATTTATAAACTATTAGCTAAAAAGTGAAAGTAAAGAGTATTGATCTGACAATGCTACCCTTACACTGGTAAACCAAAAATAAGACTTTTATATAGATAAAGACTGAGCAGTCTGCAAAAACACTGGTACCTGCGGCAACATGGGATAACATGACTGTTATTAAGGTTGTTTTAATTAATTTGGAAAGCAAGTATCAGAATGTACTACAAGATATCATTTCTTGATTATATACTGCAGCTCAATCCCACAGAAAGAGGACTGTTGCATTTCTGAGTAGTTCTGTTTGCTAAAGATATGGGTCTGCAGGATTACAATCACAGAATGACAATCTAAAAAAAAAAAGAAAAAAGGAATTCCATATAGGGGATACAATTCAGGATGAGTATATAAAGTACAAACAGTGTATTCTGGGAAGAACAAGGTCAGAAAGATCCTGAAAATACAGAGATAAAAGAACCATGCTGCACTGTTTAGCAAGGGTAATATTGCTAATAAAATTCAAAATAAAGGTTATGAAGAAATGCAAGAGGATACTGAATTTAAAATATTGCTTTTGTAAATTTGATTCACATACTTAACACTGCTTGCTTTAGTTATGTATGCTGTTATCTTTATTCTGTGCAAAAAATATCACCATCTTATTTAAAATAAATTATAGGAGATGAACGAGACAGTATCTGCAGTTTACAGAGCTATCAATAATTGCATTCTTAAGAATTTCATATAGGTATATATTATCTCACAAATATGATAAAAAGTGTTGGCAAACAAAAAAATAACACATTTTCTCTGCTCCTGTCATTTAAAACATATCTAGACCAATAAATGCAACTCCATGAATACTACTTCCAAAAAACCTTTGGTGAATATGAAATATTGTGGAAACTGTATCCTGCACACAGAAAACCTAGTTGAATATGTTAGACAACATGGACAGTCCTGTGAATGAATCGTGTGGCAGCAGAAAATGCTGTACTAAATAATTTTTAGGATGTTACTGAAACTGCAATGCTATCAGATTCTATCAAGGCCCACAGACATTCTCATGTGCTTTGTAATACAACACTGAAAATTGTAGGAATTTACACATTTGGAAGATGATGTCAGAGTTCCACTGCTGACTAAACAATCCTTTCCATGCCATAACAGTCATCATTCTGGATGACAAATATAATATTTTCTGTTATGTTTGTTATGCTACAGTCCATTTACTAATGCTACTCACCCTTCTAGCAATAGCTGTTCCAGGTTTTCAGCAACATTTGTAAGAAATTCAGGAATGCACACCAGTTGATTGTATGAAAGATTAAGTTGTTTTAGAGTTGGACATCTGAGATATGGATCCAAAACAAAGGAAGGTCCAATGTCATTTCGAGAGATATCAAGATTTGCAATACAATTCATTTTCAGTAAATATGTTGGAAAAGAAGTAAATCGGTTACTGTGCAAATCCAAGTAAGTCAAGCATTTCAAGTTCTGAAAGAAAAGGATAATTAGTTTTTAAAAAGTTGAATGAAAATACGAATTTATACATTTTAAATTGGGTTATATTTTATACAATTTATTAATTTATGTATATTTTCCTGTCCAGGAAAAATAGCAGAAAATAGCAATCATAGCAATGTAACCATTACAATTTCTATTACAGAATAAAATATAAAACATTCTTCAAAATTCATAAGCTCAGTTTCATAAAATTTAACGCATATGAATTGCATGTAGCTCTTGCTTCTATTTATGTTATTATGCTACTCAACGTAACACATTCTAAAGCAGTTCTCTGCAGTAAATTATTTAAAACTGTTCTGTGAAAATACTTTTATGTCTAGCTGAACATAAATCCACTGAATGAAAGCTGAGTGCATGTATGAAGCATGCAAAAATATACACACATATTCATGAGTAGTATTGTTATTGGTACATTGTTAGAGACGAGTAATTTATTATAACTAATCTCAATTTGTATTACATAAAATTATGCAGAATTACATCACACAGTTGTTCTGGAATGTTTGTAAGAGCATTTTGGTGGAGCTCCAGTTTCTCGAGATGTTCCAGATGACTTGATAGGCAGCTATTCTGGCTGATGGCATCAATGTTCTCCAGCTCATTTGATGAAAGATCAAGTGATTTAATATATTCTTTCTCTGAGATCAATGAGGAAAGACTGTCTGATGGTCTCATATGTGGTGAAAATTTTGAGATGCCTTCTATTAAAACAAAAACATGGGAAAAATAACATTATTAAATTTATCATGTAATTAAAATTAAGATTAATCAACTTGGGATCTAAAGATGCAGAAAGCAGTGAATGTTTGCATACTCGTTAAGATCCGAGTCCGCGAAGACTTCTATTAAGAGACAGAAATTTATGTGACAGTAGGGAAGAGATAGACACTTATGCACTGCACAACAGATGTAGCTTTGGAAAGCTAATGAAGGCAATAATGAAATTTCATTGCCTGTTTAATTCTACATAAATTATTTGTGAAGCCCAGGAAAAAAGAATACACTGTATATGCATTATTTGTACTCCACTGTAGTATTTTAAAATGTATCCTCCTCTTTGTAAACAGACATATAATCTGACCACAGTCTTCGCATGCTATGCTTGTGAAAGCTTATTAAGGATGAAAAAATCTGTTATATATGTTAAATGGTGTAGTTTACTTACTGGGGGATTCATCTGAAGGCAGGAATTTTCTTCTTTGTTTCATTAATGGTTCATAATCTGAGCCAGGTCCCTGGAAAATCCCAAAAGAGAACGAAAACCAGTTATGGACATATGCAGATATCTAAAATTATCTGAATTCAGTAAATTTCTTCTTACTGTGGTTTCTTTTTATCAGAACTTCCAGAAAGGAAGTTTTCCAAAGGAAACTGTACATTTCAACTAAAAATAACAATAGGTCTCCTCTTTATAAAACCTACTGATCCATGCAATATGAAAGAAAATTAAGTTCAAAGTGCAATGGAAATAGTGCATCTTTAGCAACCTAAAATGACTTTCACAAGAGTGGAAACAGGATGGAATAGAGTATTAAAAAAAAAAAAAATAACTTTGTCTAGGGAAGCCAGTCTCTCCAACTTCCCTTTATAGTCAGTGGGAAGAGAGAAGCTCCTTTCAAAGGAACTTGACTTTGAAGCCACCAATTTGTCCTCTTCTGTCCTCTTAAGGAATCAGTCTCTCTTCATTGATACTCTGGAGATCAGCTTCACGAAAGGGTAGTTAAGTTTTTGTGAACAGGTGTACAGTTTCTGTGTCTGCATTTCAAGATCAGACTGGAAATCTGAGCAATTCACAAGAATGTGTACTTTTTACTGATAATATTTTTTTTCTGAAATAAACTCTCATCTTTACAGCGATCTGGAGCACAGTAATTGCACAGCAATTGAAGGAAATACTAAGTGGCAACAAGTGGAGACAAGAGCCCATATGGCTACATGACCTTTTGTAACACTTGATTATTAATAATTTCGCAGTAAGCAACACAGATGGACTTATATAAGGCCTGGAATGAATAAGGATCGGACTTACCACGGAGTAGGAATGTCGTGGTAAAGTAGGAGAACCTCTTTGAAATGCCATTTCCCTAAAATATAAATCAGCGACTGCAATGGAATTGGACTTCTTTTTTGTGAAAAGTGAACCTTCACTTCCTAGTACAAAACAGCAACACAGGAGGACAAATAATTAAGAAAACATACTTTAAGATGAGGCTCAGAATTCAACTGTGATATAGATGCTGGCATACAAAGGAGAGATACATGTCAAAAGCATCAATATTAGCAGAATCTCACTGGTTAATTGTGTGTGCAATAGGCCAAGAATGTTGTCAACATGTTTTATTAGAGTACATGGGCCGTGCTAACCTGACATGTTCCAAATATGACCTGCAGCTTGGTACACTGATGCTTTATCATTTAAAATTTGCAGCAGGTTGGTATTATTCTGCATGTTTTGTAACATGTCTTTGTGCTATTGTAGCATAAATAACTTTTTAAAATAGAAAAAGTCTGCTTTTTAATAGATAAATTTGCACTTCCATATTTATTGAAAATGAATAATCAAATACCACTCTGGCTTTGGTGATTCAGGGTTATCTGGACTTATTTAGTGTTCCTCCTCTCAAAGCTACTTTTAAAACTCCTAAAATCACTCCTGTTAGCAAAGCCTACATTTTAATAATAATTTATAAATGACCTAACAACTTTTCAGTGTGGGACAACAAATAGTACCTATCAGTATGACATGTCCATGCTAAAGTCTTACAAGAATGAGTGCTGAATGATGTTATGGAAAAGAACAAAAAAGAACAAAAAAATCCTTAGGATTCCCTGATTCTGAAATTCAAATTCTTAATCTGTGATTATTTTAAGTATCCAACAGTCCTAAAACAATAATGACATCTGAGCAAGCAAAAGACATATTGTAAATTAATGCCACTCACTGTTATTATTTGGTTACTGATACTATAGACAGAAATGGTCTTTTCTGTAAGTTAAAGGCATTCAGATTTCCTAACCAAGAATTATGTTCAACTGAACACACACTTGTCATTTACACTTTCTGATCCATTAGATATCTTTGGGATAAGGCTTATTTCACTGCCTTTATTTGTTAACAATATAGTCCTCTGTACCAGACTTAGTTGTGTGCAATTGACAGAAAACCCACGGTATAGGGATTTCCAGACCACAATTCACCTGACTTCATGATGAGACAAACTGTGCTCTTGAAGAACTTGCTTTTTGCTGTTGACTCTAAAGGCAGCAGACAAGAACTGCTCAGAAACAGACATGAAAATACTCAGTATCTAAATCTGGTTGGATGAATCCCACTCTCTCTCTTTGTAAGAAACTCAATGCATGAAGAACTAATTCTGAATGGATAACTGAATAAAATACTTTAAGGTCCTAATTCTGTAGATAAAGCACACTCTTACTCAACATAAACTATTTTCCAATGTTACTGCAAACTAAAGTTTAGATTTTTGTATTCAAGATATATATATATATATGCTATATAAATTATATGCAAAAGTATTTTTTTCAAGGGAAGTCTTTTATCTCAAATACAAATAAACAACTGATTTACGAGTTTTTATGTGTGCTATTTACTCCTCAGCTTATAGTCTTACAATTGTCTAACTACTTTGAAGGAATTAATAGCTATGGTTTGGTACACTACATTGGGATTATAAAAAGAAAAAAGAAAAAAGAACCAATTACCTTCACTATCAATGTCATCACTCAGAGGAAAAACACTGTCCACTAATGGGTCAGAAATGAAATTCCAATCATAGTTTTTATCCGCTCCATCTTCAGAGAAGTTTAGATCAGAAGAGGCTCTTGATCTATCATCTGAAATATTCTTCATCTGGAATTTAAGCACCATTCTCGCTAGTGCAGAACCTGCATCTGTATGCACAGGAAACAAAAAAGATAGCATATTCTCCAAGAAATCCAAATAGCTTTAAAAAGGTAACAGAAATAACTTGTTTTATTTTCAAGGTTTGGCAGTCTTTCTATAACCAGCTGAATGCTATGAAGAGATCCCCAACTGAAGGTCTTGATCTAAAACACTTATATAGTACCATCAAGAGATATTAACACATTTCATATAACAAATTCTATTATACTCACTTTGTTTTCTTAATGGAGTAAGTTTATCTGGGAACAAAGGAATGAGCCAGGAAGGTTCTAGTCTCCCAATACCAAACCCTCCAAGACAAATGCTGCTGTTGGCAACATCAAGGCTAAGCTTCTTTAGGAGCAAGCTGATGATCTGGCTATCTCCTCTCTTTATACTGATGGTTAAAGCACTTCGAACATCCTGCTCTCGAGCACCGTTGGCTAATAGCAATTCCACCAATTTAGGATTATTTCCTTTCTCACAAACCTAACAAGAGAAAAGCAATTTTAAAAGTTTATGTGAGGCACTCAAACAACAGCTAACTGCATTAAGAGACTTGTTTCAAACTCAGATTCACCGTATGTTTAGGGTCATGTCTCTTTTTCAATTATACAATTCCTCACCCCTCAGAGCATATGCCTGCCTAAGACACCCAAGCACCAACTCTCATTTTCCTGCAGTCTTTGCCTAAAATATAACAAATGCCTGAGTTCTGCAATTGTAATTTCTGCCATGAGTGCACACAATTTCCATGCAAAAATGAATGCCAATTTATGTATGGTTATTGGTGATTGCATGCGTTCTATGGCAACTCCATTTAGTTATCTGTTCAGTGGAATAAAAACACTTAGGAGTTATTTTGCTATGTCATCAGATGAACTGCCAACAGTGGTGAGATAGATTCAAGCCTTGCATAGTGCTACGGACCTCAGGCCCACTGTCTTCAGTCAGCTTTACTCCTTCCAATCTCTCGGCCTGCTTTGCTACACAGAGCAGTGTTGATTGTGAATATTACAAATAATTTTTAGGAATATTTTCAGTTACTTCAGTATTTCCACTGTGGTTTGCTAACACTGATTTGCCTACCTCAGACTCCATGGATGGATAATCAGTTCCAAACTCAGCTGGGCTTTATCGCCCAGCCAGCTCTGCCAGCAGAAGACACTTCCTAATTCACTTCAGGCAGTACTGGTGGGGTTATCTCAGACCGGTTAAAACTGACACTGACGCAAAATTAAGAAGTGTTTCTCAAAAAGTTTTTTAAGGGCAGTCACATTTACCAAGAGGCACTTATAAGAAGGTGGGAACAGCCTCTCCATTGGCATGCCTGAATGCAAATGTGATGTTTGCCTACATCCTTATTTAAGATACCAATGCATTTCAGATAGTTGATGCTCTGGATGTGGCCACTCTCTGGATAAAGCTCTTTGCAGCTAGTATGACTGCAGGCATTCCAAGGTGTTATATTACTTTAGCTGTGTTGAAAAAAAGTCAGAAGTCTAACCAGAACAGTTAAATCATCACAAAACCTGATAACTATATTCATCTTTAAGTACAACACAAAGTAAAAAAAAAAAAAAATCCATCATCCCAGGATAGCCATTTTGGGCAAAGTCTTCTTTGCAGGCCTGGAACAGAGTGGGACTAAGTATACTGAAACCTATCTATGCACAGTGCTACCTGCTGGTCCATCTATACTTTGGCCTCACAGAGCTTGGAAAGAGCTGAATTTGGAATATCAGTTCATGGACTGGGCTCTAATGGGCTTGATGCCATCTATGCCTTATTAGTTCAGAAAAAAAAATGACTGTGAGTTTGCAAAACTCACTTGAGCTGAAGTCTTCTTCCTCAAAAATACTCCAAAGCTAAGGCTAACTCAGGTTTGCATGTGACCAGAATAAACAATAAGAAAGCATGGATTTTAAAGTGAACTTGAACCACAACTGAACTGGCAGCGTGGGCACATTCTAGATGACAGTGACCCTATGATCTTCAATAAAATGAAGGGAGTTCAATGAACATCAGACTGAGCCTGAAGTCACTGTGATTAGCAATGGTCAACAGCACAGGTCACAGTTAGATTGCACTGGGCATTACTGCTGTGTTCTGTCAAATGTAAGTTTACATGAAAAGAGAAAGGAACTCAAAAGCACAGATTTTAAAGCTGTAAAACTACGATTTTTTCCATATATTACCTGATAGATCAAAGAGTTTGTCTTTGTCTTCTTATTAACATCAGCTCCCAGCAGAAGTAAACATTCAGCCATAATACTATTGTGCTCAATGCATGCTTTTTCCAGCATCATATTTTTTAAATCATCATTTTCAGCTATTTTAGCAAAACATTTACAACACAGGCTTTGAAACTGAATGGGAAGACAAACAATCAAAGTCAGGACAAAAAAAAAAAAGACCAAAATTTTTTAGCTGTGGTACTGTCAAAAGAGAGAAGATACCTGTCGATCTCGCTGGTCAGTGAAACACATAGACATCTGGTAGAAAATGACTGTGTCAAATGACTCATGTACCAGCAGCTTCGCAAAACAAGGTGACAAACCAAGAATTGACAAGATTGCATTAAATCCCTAAGAACACAATAAGAAGACTGAAATAAGTACAGTGTTAAAAAGTGTCATTTTAAAATAGGTCACATAACAAAATAAAATTTCAACTAGAAGGTATGTGCTTTAATTTTTTTGTCTTGCTTTTAAACAGGCAGTAAATCACAAATTGGAGAAGATCAGGGGAGAAGGCAGAAGCACCTGGTGTCTGTGTTTATATAGCTGTAATTTCACGCTTGTTTAGCTGACCTACTTAAAGAGACATTAACTGACACTTTGAAAAGCCAAATTATGCACCATAATATCTGACAACATCCTGCCTGGCAGTGACAAAGGTACTCGTGATTTCCTGAAAACAGAGGAAACAATAAGGATATAGGATGAAGATGCATCCCTTGTCCCAATGTGTTGCTCTGTAATCCTTGAATTTGAAAAAAATACACAAGCTAAATGAAAAACTTAGCAGCTGCATCTAAAAAATAAAAAGAAGTACAAAATTATCCCATGATTCTGCAAATAACATTCACCTAGAAGGGTGAACTGGGTAAATTATGGACTCTTTGTCCAAACTTAATTGACACAGAATCACTTTAAGTAACTTCCTTATTCCACCACATTATTTTGATTTCTCTCCACATTGGTTGCAAAACTAAACTTGGAATGGTTGGGGGAAAAACAGCAGTAAGGGAGGCTGTACTTGGGATATTTTCATATTGATGTGAAGTAGTGAAACTCTCCCAGGCAAGCTCCATTCTGCTAGAAAAATGAAACTGGCAACAAACAGGAAAGCTTCTGAAGCACAGAAAACAGAACTTTCATACAAGGAGGACTGAACGTGTGTTTGCAGACAGAGCGAGAACTCTCCTTCTATACTCAGAAGTAGATCCAAAGTCTGACACAGTATTCCAGTAATGTCTTCCTTAAATACAGCATTCCTACATTAAGTTTATTGTCAGTAACAAGACTAGGAACTAAGTTATTTTCTATTACTTTGCAATCAATACTGTAATGACAGTTACTTCATTAAATGGTTATAGATTGACTGAATGATGGACCATGACTGAGAAATTTGTTCTAGTTTGCAGATCTCAGAATTCTTAGATAAACAACTAAAACCGTGCTTACATATTCCTGGCTGAATATATGCCTCCAAGAAAACCATCTTTACAGCAAACGTATTGGTTTTATTATAAAGGGTTATACTAATCTACTGACTGCTATAAAATCAAAATGAAGTAATTAAAATAAGGAATTCTACTTCAACTATAACTACATTAAAATAATTTTCTAAGGTTTTGCCTTTCACTTTATACACAGAAATAGCACATACATGCATCTGGATTTCAGTGACTTCTTTAAATCGTCGCAGAGAAGAAACCAGAACTGTTGACAGCACATGCATGGTTGCAATGCACAAACTCCTTCTTGTAATCAAAGAGCATAGAAGACCCAAACCCAAGCACTGTATGTCTAGAATAAAAAAAGGAAGATTCATGATGTTGATTGTTCAGGCACTCTGAGTGGAAGAAACCCATGACCTAAGTAGTGTTATAATTCCAGGGAGTTATTTGCATTAGCTATCACAGGGCCAGGCACAACTACAAAGTGGATGAACCTGAGGACTATGCAGTACTGCAGCCTCTTCTTGCCATGTAACCTACATCACATCCAGTACTAAAGAGTGTAATAGGTTACAGCTTCTATGGTTAATCAGCCCCTCCCAGTACGTCGTTCACATACGACTAACAAAATACCTTCCCTACCTTGTTCATCTGGATACATCTGTAGGGTGTGAAGCACGGTGTCAGTAGCTCCTTGCTGGGTTAAAATCTCCAGTGCACCAGTGCACTCAGCTACAGATGCAAGTAGTTTTAATCCACACTTCTGAATGTTAGGATTTCCAATAAACTAATCAGAAAATGAATATAAAATCAGATCAAGTCTGTTCTGCTTACAATGGCAACAGAAGAGTTGCTTGTTCTTAAAAGCTGTTCTTTAAGAACAAGGGATAGTTCTTTAAGAATGTGAAATTACATCTGCTGTGACAATAAATAACAATAATCACAACTGCAAAAAGGTTTCCTTTTCAACCACCAGTTTCAGCTGCTTATAACCTTCCCAGATTTTCACCTTTGATTCTGAAAATACTTCTTAGCTATTTTTCTAATAGAGAGTGGGATTTTTTTCCCCTCAAAGTTTCAGTACAACCATTCACAAGTTCACATCATTTTGCTACACCATGGAGAGTGAGAAAATGTACTTTGTGGTTAAAAAAGGAACTAAAATGAGGTTCTTTGACAACTGGCACAAGTCGTAAACATGGTGGCAATTGAAAAAAAAATACGAAAAGAAAGATATGAAGCAACATATCTATTACCACACCCCATCAAGACGTAAAAAGTTTTGGGTTTAGTTATACAGCAATTCAACAGGTTATTTGTGATTATTTCCTCTAATTTCCCCCCACTTCTAGATGGAGGAAACTGAGATGATACCTATATCTGAAAGTTTACATGGCTGTCACAGTGACTTGCAAATCTGCAAAATTATTTCAGTGGGGTCATGCCCATCTTCCTCCTCATTCCTTCTCTAGTTTTTCATTAAAATATGTTAATTTCTAGTCCCGGTTGAAACTGTAGTACCTCAAAATACAAACCAGCTGGGTCAGAAAAAGCAATCAGGATGGTCATAAAGCACTGGAGACTAATACATTCTGAAGTAAAAATTATTTTTTCTCCTTTGTTAACTCCTGTATCTTCACAAAATGTTCTTTAGACACTCTAGCGCTCTTTTGCTGATACATTATTTGCTCTGACTTTTATGATAAATGTAAGAGACGTCTATTTCCTTGACTGAAGGTATTTTGCAAGCCTAAAATTGTTGAGAGTCTTCTAAAAATTTGTGAATTGCTACATTTTGACTGTAGTCATGTGAACATTTCAAATACATAGAGGTGGGATTCTTCTGAAGGCCATGAAGTTAAACCTTTCCTATCACTAGGATTAAAAGTTCATTTGCTGTGCAAAGTGCCCAGTGTTTCCTATGCTTAGACTGGGTCTTCTTCAGCCTTTCACTTTTCAGCTTCCCCTTGAAGAAACTGTGATCATTCTGTTCTCCAGTGGCTAGAAAATTTATAGAATTGAACAGTGAAAAGAACAGAGACAACTGAGAAATATTTTCTGTTGAAAGTAAAGGAGTAGGTATCCATGAATGCCATGACTTAATTCTATGTGTAGTTGAGCTGTAGGAATGAGGACACTTTTCATGTATAAATTAATGCATTACAAAATCACAACTAAATTGTATGCTTGAAAAAAAACAGCCTTGTTTTTATAAATATCATTTAGAGTTACTGTATAAAGGATCATCTAATACACTCCAAAACAGAAAGTAAGAAGAAACCCCAAACAATAAATGAAACTCGGGAGTTAAGATTACTTCTATCAAATCAATAAGAAAATCAACGTAGAATTAAAACTTACAAATGATTCACCAATGCAAGTGTGAAATAGTGACAAAATCCATTAGAATAAAGCTTTAACTATACCCTGTTCAAAGCATTAAGCACCAGCGAATGAGTTCCCTCCAACAGACACTGGCTTTTAATGACTTTTACTGTGAGTGCAAAAGCAGCATCTCCCACGTCCCTGGAAGAACCATTCTGGTGTTCATTCTTTGTATCTGCAACAATGGAAAACAGCCTTCCTCAGAAGAACAGATTTAATATTGTCCCCACTATTAACCTAGTATTATCAACCCAATATAACAATCAAATTGAACACATGGGTGACTCAGAGGGCATCTTTCAGATCTATATTTTCAGAATGCTGTAGTTACAGAGACCAGGGTCCCTCCAGATTTACACTGTAGTTTGAGTACAATGTGTTTGAAATGCTGATTTCATCATATGTTTGCTCACTGCTTACTGTGAAAATGAAAAATCATGCCAAAGACATTTGTCTAAGGTACACTGCAATATAATACTTTTTTGAGCTATGAGGTTTCTTCTTGTTCCTGATACCTACTTCAGAAAGCCTCTGAAAGGAGACAATATAAAGAACCTACGAACTAGTTGCCCCTTCTCACTTGGCAGCACATCATATGCCAAATTCTACCCACAGATGACACTAAGAGGAAGGTGAGTACAAATAAAAGAACAGAGAAAGGTCTTTGAGATTTACCTTTCTTGCAGCTATTGGCAGTTACAGTCAAGTGGCACTACAGAAAGTACCCAGAAATCCTTTAAAAGTCACTTCAGCATTCATATTTGTTCCAATTACAATTTTCCTCATGAATTACTTTTTATTCCCTAATTAACCTGCAAGTTTCAACATTCAGCTGGCACTCTCCTTGTTTGATTACACTTTAGAGGGGCCTCACTTGCAGGATACTGGAAAAAAAGAACCTTGCCTACACGTTAGAATACATCTATCAAGTCCTATATCCTGCTGTTTATTGAAAAAAAGGAAAAGTATTAGAATTAGAATTCAAAGAACAGAATGAAACTGAAAATATGCAATCAGTCTGCATAGTAGCCAAGTTACTAGCCTCTCAGTTACTGCTTTTGTAAATGTTCAACTAAATCTGCTGAGAGATACTTGCAAAAAATTGTTCAGAAAACAAAATCTGTACTTCATGTCTGTACTCTCACTTAATATCAGAGATAAAAAAACCAGGATATACAGCAGTAAATGACTGAGAAAAAAATTTCCCCAAATTCTATTAAATGTATAGAACTAACAAATAATGTATTTTTCCCCCTGTAGATTGCCTCTAAAGAGTTTGGGGGTTTTCTGAAAGCCATTTCTAAGCTAGTAAGTTTGGCTTCTCCTTTTCTGTAGAAAATAGTATATCATAATATATTATTGTCATTATTTTTTGGTGTCAGAGGTCCAATTTTTATGTTCCTTCCAAGAGATAGTATTAAAACAACTGCATTTGTGGTACAACCACATTGATGTCATTATCTCTGTCTGCTCTCACTCAAAGGGTACCTATGATGAAAAAACACAATCACAGTGACAACTCCACACTCATTCCCTGAATTCCTCAGAAGTAATGGAGCTAACTCTTCACTGGTAAAATCAATGAGAAATCAGCAGTGATACTTTTGGTCTATTACCTTCAATACCTCAAAAACTTTCCTCCATCTTCTATGTACTTAAAGAGTTACAGCTGCTCTCTGCTATGTACAGAACTCCAGTAAGTTTTTTGAGGTCCCATTAAAGGCTGTCTCATCAAGTAAGAAATCCAACTATCTGATTCTGTCCTCTGATTTGGTCTATGATACTGCACCGATTATATTTTTGGATGACTTACCAGGTATCATAAAGTGTAAAAGGACTCGAAGTGCTTCCAGTTGTACACAGAGTGATTTTTCATGTTTCTTCATGGCTTTTACAACTTCTGATACAGCTACTGTCATTATATCCAGATGAGGGAAACTGAAAACATTGTTTATAAAATAAATAAAAAGAATGAATTTCTAAATTTTACATGTATTTGCTTCCTTAATTAGCACTGTGTGATAACCCTTTAAAGCACTGTAAATCTAGTTTGAGCTACAATATATAAACTAAACTATGGTACTTTTCTTCATCATACCAAATATATTATTTTCATGCCATTCCATGAATTCAGCCTATGTAACTAATTCTGTTCTAGACCACCGAGAGGTAATTTTCAATCCAGTCCAGAACAATGATACACAGAGAGTACAATATTTCATTCAGAGTGACTGGTGGATTCATGTATTTCACTTTGACACCAGTCCAGATATGTGAAAAGTCACATATTCATAATTTAGTGCTCTGCGACTGTCATAAAGTACTGATGAACATTTGTAGAATAAACAGAAAAATATCAATCATGTTAGGTTCTAATCTTGAAGAAAAAAAAAATAATCCCAATGTCATTACCGTTCCTAGAAATGGCAGTAGCCAAAGGCCACTAATTAACTTTTAAGGTTACTTTATTCTTTTGTTTTGTAATACTTTTTATGCCTGTGAACATTTCAATGGAATTTTTTATATTTTCTTCTTCATAAAATGAAATTATCAATAAGAAATTATGTGACTGTATCTTGAGTCTGTTATTTTTTCACATACAGCTTAGCATATATGAAGGTTTCAGGCAAAACTTGGCAAGACACTTGGAATCATGTTCCCACCCTGCATACCAGTATTCATGAGTGACAAATTAGAAATTCCAGTCACGTTCAAGAGCACTTGCAAAAGCCAACACAAAAGTAGTATTAATGCAATGTTATTTTGATAATCAGAGTTAATATTGTGGGAAAATTTTTAGCTCTCAATGGAATTCAGTGTGGTTAACAGGACAGGAGACCACCTAGCGGCTTCTCTATTCAAACCTCACGGCTCAACAACCATGAAGGGCACAACATGCAGCTCCCTACACATACCTACCTGTGCATGTGACTACAGGGCTTACAAAATTCAGTATCTTGAACAGAACTGTCAGCCTGTAGTGGATTTTAATATCATTGAAACGCTCAATAATTTAAACGTAATCACGTACAGCACCAAGTATCACAAACTCTCACTCTGGAAGTGGCCACGTATTTCCAAGTACATTACCTTCCTTCGAAAACGTGATTCAGAATTCTGCAGGCGCTTTCAGCCACTTCAGGAGAATGTGGATGTTTCCTCATTATATCCAAAATATTCATATGTATTCCTTTAGCCAAAAGTGTCTTTCTAATATTTACTACAACATAAAATAGCAAGCATCCTATAAGTGAATCTCTCTTTATGTATAGTTCTCAAAAGCAACAGAACTGCTAACTTCTTTCCATCCCTGGAAAAATCATTTTTTTTCTCACCAAACACAGACATTACAGAAGTATAAATCAGAATGGGAAGCTATTTGAGCTGAAACTGACTTCTGTTTGCATAACTTAATCAAAAGCATTATAATTTCTGAATGCTTAATAAGTTAAAATACATGTGCCATTTTTCCTTACATGAAGTTAAATTTACAGAAGAAGAATGTACAGCTTTATTTTTATTTCAAAAAAATGTTAAACTATTTTTCCTCATAATTGCACTCTGTGATGATGCAGGAAAACTAGAATGTAGAACTTTCAAAAAGCTTTCTAACTTCCAAAATAAGGCTTCAAAAATGAAATTATGTTTATTCACTCTATTTGTTTTTTAATCAATTCTTAAAAAAATCCAACTACTCAAGCACAGGTTGTAGCTATAACTGTAATCAGCTCAGAACACTTAAAAATATTCTACATTATCATGGTAACTACCACCAATTCTTGTCATTCCCAGTTCAGTACATCCATTTCAAATAGTTAATTCGAGCAACGTTCCATTGTGCCAGAGGGCTTTACTAAGATTCTTTATGTCTATCATATCTCGTGTAACCACATTCATTTAAGGGGAAAAAAAAGAATAACAATAAGAAAAAAAAAGACAACATTAAAATTTGCTTTAGTTTTCTAAAGGGAATCAGAGGCCCACTTGTCATCAACATGTTATGAAAGTATTTGGTGTAATATGTTATATTTTTATATATATAACAGTATGCATACATTTATGAGATCTATTTCTTGATATAGATATACATTTATCTCATAAATAACTACAAAACCTTGTCATTGTTGAGTTTTATGTACTTGGATGGCTCAGTAACCTAAGTGATAAAGCAATGCTTCCTCACCTAGAGAACGGTAATTAACTGCTAGTCTTTCTCTTCCTACCTAGCCAGTGGTTTTCAATGTGCAGTCTACAAACCACTTGAGGTCCATAACCATTTCAAAGGGATCTGGGAAAGGTATCTAATAAAAGCAGGCCAACTGTCAGTAGGCTTAAATACTCTAACCAGGGGTCCACATCTCCACTGAAAAATTTTGAGGGGGTCTGCAAATTGAAAAAAGGTAGGAAACTATGTTAGGGACACAATGAGGACTAAAGCAATCTTGAAAACTGTTATGCACATGTTTAACTTTCTACACGTTTTGATTCACTGAAGTCAACAGGACTGCTCAAATCCCCTGTATTAAGCAAGAAAATGGTATTTGTTGGGCTGTAGTCCTCACTAACGTGATTTTCAACAATTGCTGCTCTTGACGAAATTCAAACATGTGATAAATATTTAAACAAGCATACAGAGAGTACATACTCTTTTCACATCTCCTGCTCCAAAAAACAGCAATTGCAACACAAGCTGGCAAAGAGCTCTTTGTTTCCGTATACTCTCTCTGATACCAGCCAACAATAGCTTTTTCAAAGCAAGGAATAAATGTCCTGCTAAACACAACTGCATAATATTCTAATCACAGGGAGTATTGTATTCATACAACAGCACCCTAAATATTATTATTACAGCAATAACTTGCTGCTGAATTAGAAAGTAAAGACAATAAATTCCCTTACCATTTTGCTGTGACAAAATTGCCAAGGTACTAGCAGCTGCCTGAAACACTTCTTTTGAAGATGAGTGCATCAGCATGGAAAGCATCACTGCTCTGTCTATTGGGAACCTTTTACAGAGAGAAATAAATCACTGCACATTGACCATATTACAGCAGTTACTTCATAACTGTAGTTCAGTTTCCTAAAAAGGTATTAAGTGACAATCAAACTTTCAGATGATTGTACTTGGTTTCCAATATGTTTCCACAGCAAGAGTTGACAGAAAGTCCTTTGCAAACTATGCGGATTAGCCTACTCTGAATCTCACTGAATTCACTTGCTTTCCAAGTGACTTGAGGTCCAGAAAGGGGTACAAAACAGACTTACTATAATTTGAATGGTTACAATTTTAAGGAACATTGAGAAATAATTTACGGAAAATGAAAGTCTGTGCCTTATCCATGCCCAGATACTCTCTGATGGGGCAGCACCCCCCTACTACATCCTTTCATCTTATTTGTGGGAAAATGAGTGCTGCTTTTCCATACTACTTAAGTAACAGATATCTTAATCTTCTCCATTTCCCTCACTCATACATTCTTTAAGCCTCCCTATCCTTGTTACAGCTGAAGAAGAAATTTCTTGTGCACTGTAAAAATTAGTTCTATTAGGCTGTGTTCTGACCTTTTATTAAAACAATAGCAATTTTGCCCGAGTTAAGGTTAGCACACTTTTCAAGAAAGAAATTTTCCTAAGCATTGTTGATCACCCTGCATTTCATTACGTATTAGAAAACAAGAAAAAAAATTGAAACATGAGACCCCAAGTGGCCTAATAGTAGGCTTCCATTTTTTTCATTTCCAAAAATACAGTTCAAGATATTAACACCGACTGATTATCTCCATCTCCAATCTTCTCATGAAGGTTGCGTTGATATAGAAACAGATTTTTCAGAGCCCAGCATGCAGCCTCCTAAATATAAACCAAGAGGAGACAAAAAGATTAAGAAAATATGCCTTTAGAATACCAAATATGTATGAAAAATTGGAATAGTTTGACTGTTTTTCAGTTCATGACAAAGCTACAAAGTGTTTTATGATGAAATATAACAAGGTGTGGCCTGTCACATTCTTTATAGCTGGAACAGGTCTGAGTTACAAACGTGCCACATTCTCATTATTTGATTTGCATTTTGACATCTATTTTAGTTCGAGATTAATTCATCTGTTGATGGACCCATTTTTTACTGTTGTATACAGAGGAGCTATGTAAACAACAATCTTTGAATGGCTAAAATTTTAGGTAACAAGTCTCATCCTAACTATCCACATTTGACATAATGGTGTAACTGAAACTAGTTTTGATGAACAAAGACAAGGCAGGCAAGAAAGGTAAGATTTATTCTAAATACAATCCAGTCCAGGCTTTGTTTGCTTGAAGATATGTGGGAGAAAAAGATGTTGCTCAACATTTTATTTAATGCATAACGTAGTCTTTCCATACCCCCATCATCCAAAAATTCTCACCAGCACATCTGTGTTTTTTCGGTGTAGTTCTAATGCTCTGTAACATGCTTCCAACCAGCATAATTTTTCTTCCTCCTCCTCCTCTTCTTTTCTTTCCTCTAAGTCTCGGTTTAAGAATATTGTTTCAGCTTGAAATATAAAACATTTACAATAAATCTTTATTACAAATACAAAACACTTATGTCTTAGCCTTCCTGTAGTTGTGGATTTTTGCACTGTATATTTGCAAAAATCAGGACGACGATTAGCCTTTTCTGGGAAGTGAGAAGTCTTTTGACATAAACCGTATGACAGATTTGAAAATGCCTTTAAAGACTAAAGAACTTCATTATAGTGTATTAAATCAGGTATAGAGTCACACACCAGTTAGTGCTCAGGCTCTGAAAAGACCTGCACAATTTTTGTGTGTATTTACACAGAAAATACTACAGACACAAAATATAAACATAAAATATAACTGTGATTCATTTGCACACAACCACTTCTCACAGAGCCACTTACATTCTGAAGCAGTGCCATTAAATATCAAATTGCAAACTGCAATTGCTAAGAGAGAAATATCTGGTCTCAGAAAGTGCAGTAGAATTTTAAAAAAATCATTTTATACTTGTGATACTTCAGCATTTAAGGAAAAAAAAATTATGCGTCAGCACTGACCATAATATCTGAGGCTTACTGGAGTGTATACTGATTTCTAATCTTTGCTATTTGGGGGACTCTCGAACAGCATTTCTACTGACTTTTCCATAGAATAATTACTCAAAGACTAAGAGGATCAGATCATTAGCTTTTTGCCACTAGCTAACTTCTGTTTCAAAATAACACCTGGAGTTAAAGAAAAGTTTAAATATTCTAATTGTTTTCAGAACTCAAGTACAAGCACTGATTTGGTGTTGCTATCAGCTGCCACAGTGTAATGAGTACTGTCATGCATGGCAAACACAGCATTAAATTAGTGTTGCTACCTCCAGACATTTTCAGTTAAGTAGGGATTATCCAGTATTTGCCTATGAACAAACAGGTTGCTTTGGTAAGATCTGCCAACATAACTTGCCAGCTCTGAACATGTGAAGATGTTAGGCACGTGGTATGAACACAGTCATGTCATGTAAAACAACAAACTATAAGCATGTAGGAAATGCAGCTCTGCAAAACTATCCTGCTGGAGGCTTTCATGTTAAAGAAATGGAGTTTGATACAATTACAGGAAATCACCAGTATAAAAAAATTAAGAAGTGGACAGATAAATAAATTATTTATGTATTTAGGACAGGAGCTACTTACTCAGAAGAGCTAAGCAACTGAGAGCTGCAGCTTGTAACTTCGCATTTTCAGGATATGTTTTAACAGCCTTCACAATCACTTCTGGAACCTTATGTAACACGAGGATATTGAAAAAATTTCCTGAAAATAAAAAAGATATTAAATGAATATAAGCACCTATCTAGAGCTTTACACACATTTAACGTAAATTTCTCAGCACACAATGCATAAACTTTGCCTGTAGCAAAACAGTGGATTTCTTATTATAGCACATGACACAACAATGTTTTATCCGTGGAAAGAAGAGGTCAAGGATAAAAAACAGTTGCATTCTAGGTTCTTTGTGGGCTTTTTTACAAAAGACAGAGGTTTAATGCAAAATGAAGTGCACATCGTCATCAAAATAAGAAAAATACATTCAGTGTATCACTTGCAGACTTCCTGCCAGGAAGCAAATGCAGTCCTGGTCTTGAGTTCCTGCAATGATTTGATTTCTCCTATCAAGCAAGTGGCTTAACCTTGTTTTGCCCTGGAATAGCAGAATTATCTTATGTAACTTTTACATAGGCTGTACAGTATTTTATATTATAGGTGAATATAAGGAATTCTGGAAAAAGCAAGAAAATGAAAATAACTTCTTTCTTTGTTGTAAAAACAAGTATTACACAAATCATCATCCAGCAACACTGTGTAGAATACAGTTTGATAGCTATGGTTTCTATACTGATACTCAATTTTGTTTGCTTCTAGATTACTAAAATGAGAATCACATTACCAATGTGAAAGGTCAAATTAAAATCTGTATCAGTATTTCTCAAACCCTTCAGATAAGGTGCAAAAGATAAGGTACAAAATTAAGAAGTTGCCCATATTTGAGTATCAAAAATATAATAACATACAGAAGAAAAGCTAACCTCATTTCTTTCCCTTAGTTCTGGTCCTGAGTCTTATAGGTGCTGACTATCAGCAGTGTCTACATTTTTTTGTAGACCTAGTGCTTCTCCCACTCTTCTATCTCATTTTTGCCCCGACTCCAGTCTTTTATGGCATTCTGCACTTGTTACCAATGTCTAACACCAAAAGGACACCATATTGACTGTGGCCAGTGTTACCTCAGTACATTTAAATCATTTGAGAGATGGAGCTATACACCACCCTGAGGATTAACTGGAATAGTAGTTCTCTTGCTGCCTGTAACACTTGCTGTCACTTAACTCTGACTCTTACGCAGTCAGAGTAAGCCAACTTTAAATATCTTTGTGTACTTACCCAACGTAAGCTTATGCAACAAACAGCAACTCACTTCCTGAACTGCTTCACTATTGGCGAAACTTTTCATCATTTCCACTATAACATTGTAGCAGCGAACATTTCCAGACATGAGCACTTCAACATTGCTGGCTGAAGAAAGAAACAGAAACAATAAATGCTTCTTAAGAGAAAAAATACCACATTGACTGGATTCTAATTAAGACTTTATTGAAATAATTTCTTTAGAAAACTGGGCTTATGTTTCAGTTTTTGCCTTGTGACTTGAGAGAAAGGTGGGTTTTTTTTCCTTAGTGTTGCAATAGATTACATTAATGACTATCAACACTTGAAATAATTAAGTTCACAGTCCATATTAACATTTATGCATTTGTCCATTCTATATCAGGTCAAGTAACAGAAATCTCCTTCTAAATTGTGTTTATAACATGACTAGGATCAGGTAAACATTTCACACTATTTCAGTAATATTCCCAAGGGCATCAACTAAGAAACCATTTAGAAATGGAGTTTTTTTCCTAATAAATGTTATTTATTTAACAATGTTTTCTAAGTTTTCCTTCTTTTTAGGGGGCAAATTAAGAAGTTATTCATTTAAATTAGTTCTACTGCATGCCTATTATGTTCTGAGGGTACAGAAATGTTAATCTAATGCTCCTGCAATATTTTGAAATTGCAAATTGTATATTACACAGAATCAGAGAGTGGTTGAAGTTGGACAGGGCCTCTGGAGGTCATCTTGTCCAACCTCCCTGCTCAAGCAGGGCCACCTAGAACTGGTTGGGCAGGCCAGATGGCTTGTGAGTATCTCCAAGGCTGGAGACTCCACAGCCTCTCTAGACAATCCATGCCAGTGCTTGGTCACCTTCACCCTAACTACTGCTTATTATGCAGGCCAGATGCAGAATCCAACAGGACATTCACATGAGTCAGTAAAAAAGCAGAATACATCCTTTCCTACTGAGGACAGAGCAATCCCACATGCAGTAATTTAAAGCAAACCATCATGGTAGTAAAACACAGTGTACGAAAGCACCCTTGTAGTACGTCTATCCAGGGTATGAGACAGCATATGAACCCAAAAAAATCTTTGACAAAATTCAGCAGCTTGGCTTTCCTGTATACAACCTAAGAGGAATATTCACAACTACATTATTAAAGATAATTAGTCTTTTCAGAGCAGCAGGAGATCTTCAATATATCTCTTGAGGTGCTGTTTCTCCCCATTAAAGAAGAGAGAAACCTGGATGGCTACCTATAACTACTCTTCAGATGGCTGACATTCTGCGGCCCATCACTCCTCTATGGACTCTGGGGTACAGTTGCCAGCAAAGAATTTTCTCATTCCATCGAAACTACTGAGATTTAAAAGAGTTCTTGCACCGCACTGGAATGAACTCTTACCCTTCAATTTCTCATGACGCACGAGCTGGAACAAAGTCTACACATATATTAGTGAAACTAGGCATAGTGAGGTACAAATTCTTGATGTAATTCATCTGAAATGGAGACTTGAACTTCAGGATATGGGGAGATGAACATTTTACAAGTGGAGAAGCTAGTGTGTGTACTGACAGTGAATGATTTTCTCCATGGTGGACTTAAAGGAATATACTTTCTTGCACGTATTGTGGGATGTCATAGACCAAGATATGAGCACTAGCAAAAGTAGCCTAGCTTTGCACATTCATGCGCAAGCTATCTCTGTTTCTCTATCTTTCATATCAGAAATGAGAGTGCTAACCCCCAAAATAAATACCTACTTTAGAGCAGACCTTTGTCATGCCCTTCTCCTGTGATGCTTTGTGTAGTTACTATTTTAAAAAGTACTCAGTATCTAGCATCTTCTTCCTTAGAAAATGGCAGTAACTTCTGAGCTAGGGTAAAATTATCTCTGTCTCAATTAATAGTTAATGTTTTAAACACAAACTGGAACAGCAAGAAGTTTGAGAAACAGAAACTAAATAGCCTGGAGTCTGATGAAATGTGGGACACTCTAGTTTAGTTCTTGTTTCGTGGCATACACAGGGCCAGCATGGTTCCCACAGAGCCAGACAGGATGTATGAGCAAGGCTTGGTGAGGAATCACATTTGCAAGAGTATAACATTATGTACCTCACAGAAGACATGGAGAGCAGGATCCTGCTCTACGCTTGCCAAAACTGTAACTACCAGCAGGAAGCTGACAAGAGCTGCCTCTGAGTCAACAAGATCAAATTGCTGTCAACAAATTGACACAAATCATCGAGTACATTTCTCAGGACCTGCTTTCACCCACAACAGGGACTGCTGTTATCAGAAAACAAGACATAATGAAGACATTTTCTTCCAGTCTTATAACACAACACTTGAGGACATCGTAATTCTTTAACGTGTGCAGAGCTACCAACGCTCCTCACTGCAGCCACCATTGAATGATCAGAGGGGAGTGTCTGAGCCCAGGTATTTTTTTCTCAGCCCTGGCCATTAGATTTGCGTGGGTGATTTTCCTCTTGTGGAATGGCCTCTGCTAACAGTGTTCTTTACCTGCTACCTAAGCTCACTAAAGATTTATTCAGTCAATAAATACATCTTATTAGTCAATAAATAATCTTACTTTTCAATCATTAAAAAAAGACATAGCAGAGTCTTGAACTTTGACCTCCACAACCACAATGAGCATCCTTGTCACGACTTATTCCAAGCAACAGAAAGACTCTTTCTGTTCTTTACGAGAGATTTCAGCTTTATCAGAATGGCTGAATATGAAAATTTCCCATGAAAAATTATAAACCAGTATTTCCCAAAGAAAACAGAAAAGTGATTTGTATGGCAACTCCCAATCGGTTCTCACTGATTTCACGATCACTGAAAGATTACCATAAACTGAGGTGAGCAGGTGCACGGTATGGGATAGAAGGAACTGAAAATGACTTCCAATAATGCACTTACATGGACCGGCTAAGGAATGTAACGAATAAAGTGCAGGAAGAATCACCTCTTCTTTCTCTGGAAACTCCTTAAATACTTTCAGTATGATCATATGATCTTTGCTTTCGACAAATTCAGTCAGCTGCTCTTCTGGAACTAAATTGAAAAGCAAGAGAGATACGGTATGTTTTGAAGAAATAATTCATATCCTGGTACAACACGAGCAAAGATAATTGTTTTTATCAAGTTTCCTTATATTTATTTTCTGTGTATCACAGAAAGTAAGGGAATCTGCATACACATCATCTTCCACAGTTACGCTTCCTTTTACTAAAAACTGAGCTACTTTATAAAAATGTTCTTCTAGCCTGCACTTTATATAACTGATGTCTGATTTTTAAATGCTTCCCTGTGAATTGGCATTTTAAAATAAGTCTTTTAGCCTTTTTCACGTAACAAACTTCAGATATTTCTCACCAAGACAGTATGTAAGTGAAGGAAAGGCTAAACATACGGTGAAAACAATTTGATGGAATGCCATTTTGTATACTCCGTGATTTTATTTCACGTCTCAACTTTTTTTGATAATGGAGGTATTTCCATAAAGACTACAGCCATGCTTTAATAACATCTTACCTTCACTGTAATAACGGCTTAAGGTTTTTCCATCCCTGCCCCCTGTAATTTGTAGTGACATAACTGTGTGGCCATGCAATGAACCAGATAAGGGAACTGATCCAGGTTGAGAAAGAACAAGACACTTTAAATTTTGTGGCCTGAATAATTTTCTGAATCTGGTTCAAGCTAAGGTTAGGCAAACATTCACATGACAACAACTGACAAGGTGGCTCGCAGGCAGGAAAAAATAACCAGGGGCGGCCTAGGAACTTGTTAGATCAGCACTGCCGTCGAGAAGAAGTTACACAGGTCTGCACCCAGAGCACTCTGCAGATCTGTAAAATTCAGGCACTTATAAAAAATATGCACAGAAAATCTAAGAAGCTCAGACCTTTGTAGAGACTGAAGAGAACATACAGCAGGACAAAGGTATTAAGGGTGAGCGGAAGGAATGCAGAAGATAATTCCAGGCACACGTGTGGGAGGAAGACTTAGAAAAAGCAATATAAAATGGTGCCAGAAAGAACAAATCTGAAAAACTGGATACTATCTTTGAAGCAAAGGAGTACAGCAGGCTTGGCAGGAGCAGCAGTATATCTCAGTATTTATTTTGAAGCAAGAAACTCAATGCAAAGCAAGGCTGCTACAACAATGGAGCTTCTGGCCGTTACACATGTAGTTATTGAGAATTTTACAGAAACTCAATACATGGTGACTTCATATTAATTGCTCTAATTTAGAAAATTTGTGATACTGCTTGGAAAACCTGTTCTGTGCTAACTCATTCAAAGAACAGACATAATACACAAAAAAGAATGTGGAACGCAAGAATTCATTTATTGCAGTTAAATAAACATCTGCACTCCTCTCCCAGCCTATACATTTTTCTAATTTAATAAACTATGAGATATAAATACCTTTCTCAAAAAGTTTGTGTAATGCTTTACATCCATGTTGCTGGATCTCTTCATTTTTAGGGAAGGTGTGCATGGCATTAAATACCAAGGAAAACACATCCACCTCTTCCTCCAAGAGCAGGAAAGCAATTACGTCTGAATAGCAGGAGAGATTACATGTTGCACTGATCAATTCTCAACATTTTTATTGAAGCACTGTACTTAACAATTAAAATCCAAATTTCTTTAATACTGTCCTTAAATTTTACTCTGATGGCTCAAATCCAGGTTTTTGTATAAGTCATAAGGAATCTATCTCTTAAGGTAGCATTTTACAATAAAACAGATGTTCTAAAACATTATTGCCAAAAAGACAGATTCCCCCTCCACTCTTGCTCCCAGCTTGCACTGCTTTGGTTCTTGTATGACCCCTCAACGAGCCAGTTCAATTCACTAAACTGGCAGTAAATTAACCTATTAAAAAACAACCTTTTTGCAGTCATAGCATGCTGAAAGGTTTCACTAGGACTGATGGAAGAAAGAGGGCAAGACTACACTGTCTGAGGAAAATAAGAGGGGATTTGAAATGTACCTGTCAGCTACTGTGAACCATGAAATCTCTCCAACTGTATCATGAAACCCTACTCTCACTCTCTCAGTCATTCATTCAGCCTGAAACTGAACTGAAAAGCCAATCTCACTGTTGCTCTTATAACATTAAAAACAAAACGAAGAAAAAAATTATAGCATGTGTAGGCAAAAAGATTCATATTCATGACAATTTTTCATGCTTATGGAAATACCAATAGAATCCATAATGACTGTTCAAGTGTTTCAGCTGCAGCTGGGTTTTTTTGTCCTTTCTGTTTGATTGTTTTGTTGGTTTTTTTTGTTTTGTTTTGTTCTTTTAAGATAAAGTCTTCCTATATGGCATTCACACTGGCCTGTCAGCTCCATTTATAGTGCAATTCAAATTTAGACACATATAGAAATGAAGAATACTAAGAGATTTTTCTGACAAGGTAGAATTTCAAATATTTTTCTGAAGTCAGTAGTTGAAATGAGAACTTAAGTTTGATTAATCAACTGCTGAGAAGAAGAGTAGCAGTCAGGAATAAACTGTTATGAAATATCCAGTCAACGATCTAGAACCCTTTACCTTACCTCACAGGTTTGTAAATTAGGCTGATTCCAAAGTGTGTTAAGGTCAATGAAAACATTCCTGTTGTAACAATAATTTGTGCTAATATACTATGCTAGCTCAAATAAAACCAGCAGAATCTCTCCCTTAAGAGTCTCTCTTTAATTTCAACAGATGATCAAGAATCTTAGCACCATGAGAAAAGTTCTCAGTACCTGGTAAGATTAGGTTTCTGCAGAGTACAATAACAGAAATGTCAGAGATGATCTGTTATCAAAAGTACTAACCAGGATTAAAGGAAGCAAGTCAGAATTTCACCAATTTAATTTATACTTTAGTAGGAAAAAATAAGCTCTTATTTTACTTAACTACTTAACAGTACGTATTTCTGTTTCTGCTAATACAAGTTGACAAAATTAATTAGTCATCTTCTTCACACCATTGTAATTCAGAGAATCATTTCTGCCTGGTTAAAAAAGGGGCAAGTCGTATTTGTACTATTTTGTATACAAGTACAAATGACAAGTGACTTCATGGAGTAAAACAGAGAGAAAAGTCATATCCAACATGTACAGACTCACACTTTATACCACAGTTCTGTGTTTTAAAGGCTTAGACAAAGTAGGAAAGTAAAACACAAAATACCTGACATGAGGAGTAGATTTAGTGCTTTCAGCCCAATTACTGAGAGATCTAGATTTCCTTTGTGGACTGTAAACATTTTAAGAATCTGCCTAAAAAGAAAAAAAGAGTTATGGCTAAAGAAATATTAACAAACATAACATTTTATCAAAGTTTACTTTAAAAACAAAAGTAGTTATAGAAATTAGCAAAAGTTTAAAAAGCTCCTTATTTTTTCAGTTTTTTGTTTCAGTTTATGTTTTTTCAAGTTAGCAATGAAATAATGTTGGTATTTTAACTACTAACATACTTCATTAAAATACTGCTGTATGATTTATCAATTTTCTTTAATTTTTAATTAGTCACATATATTCTACAGGGGACAAGTCTCATACAGGGTGGGGTTACTTTACAGAAAGCAGGGTTGTGGAGCACAGCAGACTGTGGACAGTATGGCACTGTTCTGTTTGTAGCAAGAGCTAAGTTATAGTGAACAATGAAGGGTTTGTTGGAAGAAAAGCAGCAGTTTCCCAGCTAAAGAACTGGAAGAGCATCTTGAAGAACTCTACCCTAACTAGGTTTCTGCCATACAGCACTTACCTGATTCTGGACAAATCACTAAAAAGAAACATTTCATAGTCTGCCAGTTGGATACTCCCTACTTTCTAGGTGGCCCAACCAGACCCATGGATATTAACCTCTGAAATGCTGCATCAGAGTCAACCAAAGTTGACTTTTTAAACAGAGAGAGCCAAACAAAGCTAAGTACTCTGAAAAACCCAGTGCATGTATCAAACTGAGCACCCAAAAATTAGGTGACACTTTTAACATATTTTGCTCAAACTATCCTCCGTAAAACAGTGACCACAAATCTGTAACACATTCTCAACAAACAAACTTGTAAAAGCTCTAGACATTGCTCATGAGCACTAAGAAAAGCTGAGAAGAAAATGAATAGTCCAGCTTTCACATAAGGTTATCACTACTGTCCAGGAAATAAGGCAGTGGGCCACACATTGAATGATGCTGATGACAGAAAATAAATAAGCATCAATTTTGCACTGAATGAAGCATATCTGAAAAGGCGAAAAAAACCCAGATAGTGTAATTAAAAACTAAATAAAAATACACAAAACAATCCCAAGAAACCTTTTTTAAAAAAAATTTCATGGTTTTGGAGACCTTGACTCTGCAATCTTAACACTCTTCAAATGTGAGTCTTCATATATATATAATATCTAATAAAATTTTCTTGTGCAGTAGTTTGCGATATTTTAATAGATATTCTTGATCTGTCTTGAAAATTACAATACAGCATTTCATTCAAATTTCACTTCCCAGCTCTAGCAATGATGTTGTTTGCCTTGCTAAAGCCTAACTTTATAAGCCTGAATGAATGTATTGCTGTTTTATTCCTTTTCCCTTCATACTTACATCCTTACACTTTCATGAACACAAAACCACTACAGAATTCTAGGGTTAGCCAGAATACTGTGTAGGATCATCATAGGAATGGACAATAAAATCCAGTTAAGCGTAGGGATTTTTTTTATTAAACTGAGACTAGATAACTTACTGAAACTTCTCTATGTACACTTTGGACTTAGAAGTCTACAGACAAGGACAGATGGTGGCATTTGGCAGCATACAGCTCACATGTAAGGACTAAGTAGTAGGGTGATGAATCAAGGAAAATGAATTGCCACTCTAACCAAGCTGGTGGAGTAAGTAAACAGACACTCTTAGATCTGTTTTAACCTCCTGATTAAAGTGTTCTAGTCTTAAGTACTCCAGGGCATTTTACTGTGTGGTTGCAGCTGTGTGTGCACATGCGTACAAGTGTACAAAGTGCACCCGGGGTGAAGATTTCTTCACCTTCCTGCTCCATTAGTAACTGTGGCTTAGACTTGCTTACTCCTTACATCCTGCACGGATGGAAAACCCCACTGGGTTATCAGATGCTCTGAAGCCATTAAATGCTTCTCCCTTATCTACCAATGACTCATGATTTCAGCTGTGAGAAAGGAAAACTGCTTTGGGAAGAGGGCATTTTATAGCGGGTGACCTCTTTCAGGGAAGTGCTGATAAATAAAGACATGACTTGGCTCAGTATACCACAGGGTAATATAATCACACACTAAAGCATGCCTAATACAGGGAGAAAATTCCTTGTACCTACCCTCCCATTTCAAGTATAATCAAGACTGAGGACATAAAATATTCTAAACCTCATCCACTGCATTAGAGATTAATGAAAGATTACAAAACATTTCACAAAGTCTCTTTGAGCCTGTAGAAAGGATGTAAATACATTGAAGGAACTTCCTTCCTTTTTCCTCACACTGACAGTGACTATTTAATTATTTATCATACTGTCTGTATGTTAGAACACCTAAAACAGCACCAAACTACTGTTTGTAAACAAAGTCCCAAAACAGTAATTTTTGGGGGACCCAAGAAAGAACAGCAATATGTCTAGTTCTCAGAGTAAGTCTCAGTCAATTAAGAAAGCCCCCAAAGAAATTGTAACTAGCTTGTACAGCATCAACTCAGTTATTCCTTGCTTATGAAAAGCAACAAAATTCTTTTGCTTTCTAACAAGAACTGACATCACTTGTTTCAAAGGAGTTTATTCCCCTATCAAACAAATACCTGTAAAACAAACCAACCAACCGACCCCCACAAAACCAAACTGCATCTTGATGCAAATGATCTTACAACAGCCACCTTTCTAAGGAAGGATATGGTGAAGACTATAAAGGCAGAAGCAGATTCACTGGGTGAGTTATAAGGCTGTAGCTTCTTGCTGTCATTATCAGCCCTGAATGAGGCAATCTGTGCAAGTGAGAGAACACCAAACCAAACCCTCCTCCCTCATTTGTGTTAGACCTCAATTTACAGCTACCATTTGTGCTATGGAACAACTATGGAGCTAACATACCTGGGTTTTCACCCATCTAACCACAGCTAGCCAGAAACCAGCTGCTTAGGCTCCCTTGACGGAGACGAACAAGTCCAAGCTGCAGCTTGCTCCAGGATAACTTACTAAAAAGATGGAATGAACCACCCTCTCTGAAGGTAACTGTGTCCACTGACTTCATAGGTGAACAGTTTAAATACTGAATTTTCAGACAACTAAGATTAGGTGTGACAAATACCTCTCCTCTTGATTTGCACTACTTTAAGCTTATAGATATAATTCATCACATCTGGAAAGAACACACAGACATAACCATTCAGATAATACTGCTTGTTTGCAAGTCTGCTTGTTCTTTTTTAATGTTTAAGTGGAATTTCCTATATTTCAATTTATGCCCATTGCTTCTCATTCTGTCACTGGGTGTCACTGAGAAGAGCCTGGTTCAGTCTCCTTTACTTTCTCCATTGGGTATTTATACACACAGACAAGATCTCTGCTTGCATGAGACTCCCATTCTGAAGGCTGAAGAAACCCACAGAAATCTTCAACCACTTAGAAGCTGATCTAATAACTTTATATGAATATATTTCATTGCATATATATGCTGCCATGATAACCAAGCATTCTGGAAGACTCTCTGCATACAAGATACTTACTGGTGAACACCCAGCACTTCCCAGTCCTTCCCGACATCCTTAGGAGCTATGTTCTGTAGAGTACTTGGACAAATTTCTATTAATTTACAGAGAAGTGACCAACCCATCTGTAAAACAAAAATGCAGCTATTTTAGAACAGATATTCTGCTCGGAACTTAAATGTTGTCTTCTAATATTCCTGGCTTTTGAAAGATGGACATTCTGAAAAGTTATCTTGCTAAATCAGTAAGGGAAAATTAATTAATACAACACAAGAAAAATGACAAAAAGTTAAAAGATGGAGGTAAAACAGATGCTAATGATTCTCAATGCATTGCTTGTAGAAACACATCACTCTCAATGTGCTTCAGTATACTGCTTGAGGATAAAGAACACACAGTTAAGAGATGTTGACAGAGAGAAAAATATTATGTGATCCATAGCATGTCATCATGGGCAAGGGAAGACCACCACACTATTACAGGTAGACAACCTTTACTGAAGAACAGGTATTTCCATAAGAATTTGCCATCTGACTCCAAATTATAAGGAGAAAGGTGTGCAATGTTTTAAATATGGACGAGATACCCAAACAATACTATATATTCCATATTCTCACTACCAATCCTCAATACTACGTGCTTTCAAAATGCAATGAAGGCAGCAACAGTTTTGAGATCGTAAGGAATGAAAGATGAACTAAAACAAATATATTTGTTCTTAATAACTACTCGCACTATCCTACACCAAATCTTTGACTTTCAAACATCTCTGAATAATGCCAAAACCAAAAGGCGTTCCCCTTGGGTTTTCCGTATGGGAGAAATCTGCCCTCTTATAAATGCCTGCAGGCTGAAATGACTGAATGGGCTTTAGTGAGGATGCCGTAAGCAAAATCTGTACAAAGGATTAACAGATGAGCAAAAAACCCCACTATATGGAAAGAGAAGTGAACTGGGAAATTTCAAAAGTCAAGGTAAAGCAGATATTACAAAAAGGAATTAAAATAAGTCATAAAAGTTTCCTTGGCCATCTAAATAAAGAAGAAAAAAATGTGGCAGTCAGCCTGTGTGCTTTAAGAATATGATCAAGACAGAAGATAATCTAAGTATGGCTCAAAAACCATATGCGTAACTGGATAAGTTTTTGGCTGAAGAGTTATGTAAAGCAAAGGGGTCAAGACAGGACAGCCAACAACAGGAAAGTAAATGGCTGTCTCCAAAGAGTTTAACTGCAAAGCTCATGGAAAGTGCATGACCTCTAATCCTGCAGTCTGCAAGTCTGGAGACATGAAACTGCAAGTCTGGCAGTGTAAAGGCACCCATAGGAACAGCACAGGCCTGGATCTAGACAGCTTTCATGACAGCTTTGGTGAGTATGAAAAAGGTGATGTAGCTCCCTGGGAACTGGAATTCTGCTTTTCTCTCTCACATATGAGGTTACATAGACTATGTTCACGCTAACTGCAGCAGTTTTGTTTCTGTTTCAGTTTAGATTTGCAGAGCCAAATGTTTTAAGACAATTACAAACTTAACGTCTGCAGACTGATCTTGACCATGAGCTGATTTCTGTGCTCTTCTCTTGCTTGGATAGGAAGCTGGCTTGCGCTACATAAGACTGCAAACCAACTACTAAGGACATTTAGGAAGATTAGGCTGGTCTGTGTAATTGAGGCCTGACTAAACATAAATGCAAAGAATAGTCGTAGCAACCACCAGTTCTTCCCATGATGAGGATGAGTTAATTACCCAATTTTCCATATTCCAAGCAAAACAGAGTTTATCAGTGCTAGTCAATCAGGTACAAATTTCAAATCTGCATGACAAAGACATTGTAGAGGTGATCATTAATTCATACACTGTGTATTGCTTATAAAAGATTTTATTTTGAAAGTCTCACTTCATACCATCCTAACTGCTCTTGTAAAATTTAGAACCTGATGAAAATTAGCTTAGTGACTTTAGAAAATTCCTTTTTGTATTCAAACTGTTTCTGACAAAATTTCTACTTCCATTAAACATTTTCATTTGGATTGCTGACTCCAAAAAACTCAATACTGACAAACTTTTATAAAAGACCAGAGAAGACCAAGGTAAACATCTGACCTGCTGACATGTGGTCTATTTTACAATATTAAAATCACAACCTGAGATAACAGAGAGCTTATTATCTGTTTAATAGTTATGTAAGAAAGTGTCTTTTAAATAACAGGAATCCTAAAGGTTACAGGGAAAGAAAGAACAAACAAAACAAAACAGTAAACAGAGACATTCTTATAAACACTTAAATGGGTCCCTGTACACAGAAACAGTTGGTGGCAGCACTGAAACTCTGCTATTTTTAAATCAGCCCCTTATCATTTCCAGCATGCAATGAATTTATATTACATTAGGTCACACCTTCTACGTGAGACAATAAAGCTCTGCTGATGGCTCTTTACTCAAGTGTAAACATATTTTGCTCTAGAGTTTCTAAGCTTCTCCAATCATTGCCAGAGTGACTGCAGAAAGAAACTACCATATTTACTTAAAGACACCTATTTTACTTTAAGGCACTATTGCCTTTCCAGTCCAGCACCTTCCTACTTCTGAAGAATCTTACAGGGTTTAGACCTGTAGTTCGACTTGCACTTGTACTTGCAATATTGATCTATTAAGCCGATTTACTCTGTACAAGCCCATGGAACAGCAGCACAATGTGATGCTTTGTACCCAGTTAAGGAAGGGAGAGAAAGAAAATCCTCACTTCACATATGTCTCTTACTGTGTTCATTCTCTTACACGAGTCAATTTTATTACAATGCCAAAAGCAAAAGAGGCTGATTAATCAATTTATTCAATGAAAATTCATTAGTAGTGTAAAGAGACTGCACTGAAATCAGGACTACATTACTTCACCACTGCCATAAAGTGAGAACTGTGTATTCACAAAGATCGTAAACACATTGCAGTGAATGAAGCAAGAAGACAGAGCTCTACTAACATATTGTGGATGTTTGTAAATATCATAAGGGAATGTGAAGAAGGAGCTGCCTACAACATTTTACGAGGAACAGGATTCGAGCTTTGCACTGGCTATGAATTTCACGCTAATACAATGTAGCAATGCAAAGGAGCTCCAATACTTCTAAACTGAAACACTGTACACCTGCAAAGGTTGGCAGTAAGAAGATTAAAACTCATTTTAAAATTCTATATTAAATCAAATAAGAGTGAGATGTTTTAACATGGATAAAACGAAAATTAATCACTATCATCCCCATGTACTTCTTCTGCACTGGTGCTGACATTTCAGATCTACTTCAGGTTGGGTTCAATTTAATCTTTTTTACTTCCTAGTCTAAACTTCTGGGCAGTGGTTTTGTAAATTGTTATATACATAAGATGCTTTACCATGAAAATAACTGCTGATTCACCCTTCTGTATTTCTTAATGACCTGACAACTGAATAGTAAAATAAGTTAAAACTTCAGACTCTGCATGAGTATTTAGTCTTCAAAGGAAACCTGAGATCACTGTTACTCCACTACACAAGTCCAATTTAATATTTTAATCTGAATTTTACGCTTTTGACATTCAGCTAAGGTCTACTAGATTAAAAAAAACTCCTTAAATGTACTATTATTTAAGTGGCATTTGTAATATAATTTATGTTTTGCCTCCTAGTTGAATTGAAAAAAATAAAAGATGCCAAAAATATTGTAACTATACAAACTGGCTTAACAAAAAAACCTCAAAAACCAACAAGCAAGTTGCACAGAAATCTGGGGCTTATAAACATCTTTTAAGCATAACATAGTCAGAAAAGTAATATATGCCTGCCAGGAAGGAGCTGTTTCATATGACAAGTCTGGCAGCTGCAGCACAACATCAAATCGTGCAAGTGCCACACCTAATCTAAATGGGCCAATGTTAAGCTATATGAGCAGCCAAGTAAAACCTTAAATTGCAGAACCTACTCTTAGCTAAAAGATTTCCCCTCCCTTAAAAAACTTGGCGAGTATAGGGTTACATAGAATTCACATTACAAAATTCTGCTTTTCAGAAGTTTGTCTAACCATGGTAAAATTCAATACTGACACACCAAAAGTATACTAGATAACATTACTGGTAATTTAAAAGCTTATGTCATACAGTATTCACACTGATTATTTTTTATTTTCTATTTTACCTTCTTTTGTCGTTTAAATAGAGATGCAACGAGTGGTACACACAAAAAGCTGGAACATTTGTCCCTTTAAATGCAAGCGGATACAGCGCCCTTTACAGACCAACAGCAATTCATAAAGCGGCCCAGAAGAGAGCAAGTTAAAAAGAAAGAAACAAGCCCAGCGGTAACTTTTATTCTGGAAAAAGGCTGTGGTGCTCGGCTCATCCTCACGAGCGAAGCCGGAGCAGCGGGAACGCGGCTCCAGCCCCCGGCCTCCAGCCGGCCC